TGGAACGTTTTGAATGTTTATGTAGCACCAATGCTATACGTCAAGCTTTAACAATAGAAGAACCTTTTTGGTGCTATTGAGTCAGTCTGAAGAACCAGGATTTTTAAGGGTGTACATTAGCATTTTTGCTAATGATGATCTGCTCTAACTCTGCTAACTTTGGCTAACATTTCAGGTCTATCAATGCTGCAGTCTGAATGATACTGCACCTAACATTATCCTACACTGACCACGTTATTAATAACACAGATTTTTGTTTAGAACTTGTTTAGGTTTTTCTCTCTCACAGTGACAGTGACTACCCAGCATGCAACACAGAGGAACAGAGATAATGTACAGCATTCAGATAATGTATGAAGCTGTAATTCCAGAGCACTGTATCACACAGTCCAGTTTGCATAAATAAAACTGTGAGCTCTGAGGTCACTCTATTAATCATGCCTTCATTCAGCACCACTGAGTCACGTGACCGGACCTCAAATACGTCTCATAGCATGATGAAGACAAATGCAGTTAAACTAAGACAAAAACTGAGAAAAAACTGAGAAAAACACAGACCCGGATGGGGCTGAACAATTCGAGGAACATATCTAATTGTGATATTTCTGACAAACATTGTGACTATATTGTCACTGCAATTTTTAAATTGCAATTTTTGTCTACATACTGTGGTCCAGGCCTGGTTTTTGGCCAATAATATCAGTTTTTCTGGGTTTAAGGCTTGAATACTGATCATAGTGCACCAGACTGCCAGCTGTGGTTGTGATGTGACAGAAAATGCTTGTTTAGCTGCTTCTGATTGGTCTAACTCATCTACAGGCAGTTCCAGGCTCTGTGTTACTGGGTTAAATTTCCTCACTTAAAACTTAAGACAATGTTGTTGATAATGCACGGCATAATAAAAAAAAATAGCAGCTGCTGCGATTTGAAAATTACACTTTTTAAAATTACAACTTCAATTTTAAAACGATTCATCTTTCAGCCTTAGACATGAACAATCTGGATGGAAAAATAGAACCATAGCACCTGTAAAAGAGGAACTTACCCAAGAACCATTCGTTCATTTAATCCTCTCTAGACGTGGGTGATAAAGTAAAAATATAATATCATAATACTTTAAGAAATTTTTACAACACATGATCAACCACAATATTTTTTTTTTCTGACGTGAAGTTTTTAGCAGACGAAAAGGAACCACTAGCACTGCAATAAATATGTAATGTAAATGGCGTACTTGGTTTCTCAGCAAATCCTGCAATTAAGGAGAAGCAGTATTGTTAGCCACAAAGCTGATTTCAGACCTGCAGTGACGTATAAAGAATTCTTAAACAGCTGCTGGAGATGAATGTGAGTAATGTGTAAAAACCAGAGCATCCAATATCAAGTAAAAATGTTAAAGCCTTTCAGTAGCCTTAGTTTACTGTATCTCGAGCAGTTTAGTCAAATAAAGATGTTAAAGTATCGATAAACATATGGACAGAACGATTCAGGCATACAGTTAGCCCCAAACTAACTGGTGTAATTGTTAGTGTAACCGGTGTAATTATTAGCTATATTAGCCTCAGTGCTAATGAACTGATGTGTGCTTCGTAGCTGCTGCACTAAAACTAAAGAAGCAAACTTCAGACACCAAACACGCCTCAGCTGACTGACTACATCTGGAGTAAATGGGGGATTATTAGGGGTCCAAGCACCTTTAGGTTTGTGGAGAAGACACCGTAAGTCATCCAAAGACCAAACTTAGAGGGTAGGTGTAGATTCCCCCCCACTACTCAGGCAACTGAAATCACCCCAGTTGGCCTGATGGTGGCGCTACAGAGCAACATTTTACGTTTTTGCCCATATCTCCTGAACCATGGGGGCTACCCTCAAAATTCTTGCTTCTGCATAATCCTTGCTTTATTCTACATCAACGCTCCACTGCAAGTTTTTAGCTTTTAGCTCTGCCCCCAAATTTATCATCATAATTGGCAAAATATGTGACATCTCCATTTTTCTACTAGTCTGAGGTTTTTCAAGATATCAACACAATATTGGTCTCAAAATGTTCAGGGGAGTCTGGAGGTCAAAAATTATCAAAAGAATTTGAATATTTGTATGGCTGGCATGTGCCAATTAAGCCCCTCTGGGTTTGGTTTAATTCACATAAATGGCTACAGATCGAGATTGCTTTGGCCAATTCACATCAAACTGATCAGTCCTGTACCCCACATGATTCTGTGGAAGCCCACCAAGGTTGATACCGATTCCTCAATAGGGGGCGCTATAACAGCCAAAAATCTGTTTCTCATCAACCACTTGGCCAATTGAGCTGAGACTTTGCATGCTGTATCCATGGCCTAATATTTACAAGATCTATTAAGGACAACTGAATCATTTGACAGATATGGCCACCATTGGCCAATAAGCTTTCAACAGGCATTTGGAGGGCTTAGCATTGGCCAATCATCACAAAAATTATATCATGTGTCCACATAGGCAATCTCTAATAGCCTATAAAGTTTGACCTCAATTGGCCGTGAGGTGGCGCTATAGTATAACAAGAATAAGTCCTATAAATATAAACAAGAATAAGTCCTATAAATTTTATCATATATCAAAATAAATCAATACATATCGTTGGTTACACTGAGAATGACATTTTATCAAATACAGGTCTTTTAAAATTCTGTAAAGTTTTTCTTTGATTGATCAATGTTTGAAAATTGAGCTTTTCGAACTAGTCTGTGGATTTTAAGACAACTGTTTCAATTTTGGTCTTAAAACAATCTGCGGAGTCCGTAGGTAAATAATTATCAAAAAAACCTTGACTTTATTGCAAAGAACAGCCATGAGACACCAATGAATCTGTTCGGCCTGGCCTTTTCTGACTTAGAGGGCTATAGATTCTTTAGTTTTTAGGTGATTGTGATAAATCTTGGTAAACTTGTACACTACTGTTTTCTGATGAAACATGCAAAGTTTCATTTAAATTGATTATCATAAGCCCCTACAATACTTAATCTAGTGCGTAATTATTAAAATGTCATTATATTCTTCTATGAATGAAATAAAGAAAAGATAATGGTTTTAAATTACACATCTTATTAACGTCTAAAACATTGCAATTATATGTCTGTTGCACAATTGCACAGGAAATGTGGAAATTTGAGTTAAAGCCAGGATGGCCACATAATTAATAAGGGTAATATCTTTTCTGCCCAGCAGAGGGAGCATCAGCATTAAATGCAAATTATGACTTCAAACATACTTATGGTCATAGTCTTTGCAACATCAATCTTGCAGCAAAGGAACTTTCTGAATTTTATGTATTCCACTGAGCCAAGCAATTTTGCTTATACAAGTCTTTTAAAAAACTCTATTGTTTTTCTGTAAATCATCAGAGTTTGAAAACTGATGTTTTCATACTGCTTGCTGAAATGTTTTTGCATCGTCTCAAACTTGGTCTCAAAACAACCGTCGAAGTCTAAAGAACAATAATTATTTAAAAAACCTTGGCTTTTAAGCACAATGTTATTGCAAGTTATGGATCAATCAGTGCGGTCCAGCCTATTCGGAAACAAGGGACCACAAATCTGTCACTTATGCTCCGATTGTGACTAAAATTGATATATACATTGAAAATTATCAGTTGAGAAAACCTATGACATTTGGTTTGAATTGGCTTAAGTTGGCTCTTACAATGCTCAATGTACTGCCAACAATCTAAAATGTAATTATTCCTGTCTAAGATTAAAATAAAGACATGATTATTGTTTCAAATTATGCATCTTAATGACACATTAACACTTTGCATAATGTGTAGGTTGTACTGTACAGGAAATTCTATAATTTGATTTCAGCAAATTTTGGTCCGATTTTTCTCTGGCCACCAGAGGGAGCCAAATCAGTAACTGCACGTCATTGCTGACATATACATAGAAAGCTTTACTGTATGTCTTTAAGCGAAGAGCATTTCTGAATGTAATTTTTTCCACTAAGCCTAACAATTTTGCAAATACAAGTCTTAAAAAACTTTCAGTAATATCACGGTTGAAAAAAGATGGAGAATAGACATTTCTTACTAATTCTTGAGTTTAAATCAAATTACATTTTTCTTAAAACAATCATATTAAAAATATCATGACTTAAGCACAGTGTGGCTGAAGATTTGAATAATTTGGTGTGAATTGGCTTATTCTGCCATAAAAGGCTAAAATTACACCAATAATTGTCTGAATATAACCAAATTTGACACAAATATACAAAATGACAAACTGACAGTGTATTATGATTTTGTTTGAAATTATACTACAATAGTCACAGTAATTGCAAGGTGGAAACTAATTCCCAATGGGGTGGTGCTAGGTTCCTTATTGCTCTAGACCGATAAATTCTCTCAAAACAATAGGTCTGCTGTGGGCCTCTTGTAGCTCACCATGAAAACGCCCGCCTTTGAAGATTAGGGTCGTGGGTTTGATTCCCTGTACTGGTGTTGGATGGTGCTGTAGCAGTTGTTGTGAACACACGCTTAATTATCTTAATCTTAATGAAGGGTCTTTCTTAAAAATCCAAAGATTTGCTGCCTTTTATGTCCACAGACATGAAATTTGTTTATGCTGCTACTTTGTCCTAAAATGGTGCGTGGTTCCTTGTTGCGTCCTTTCAATGAATTGTTTCAAAAACTGCAGTTTTGCCACAGACGTCTTGTGGCTCAGCGTTAGAGCCTCTGCCTTTGAACTCGTGGGTTTGAGTCCCCGTCATGGATGTTAAAATGAGTTGCGTAGATTGTAGCAGATGTATCAGCTAGTGGCCTTAATCATAGGAAAAGGTGAACTTTCTTAAAAATCTGAAGATCTGCTGCAGTCTACGACCAGGGGCCACTACTTTACTCCTCGAGGTCTTCCAGGTGCTTGGACCCCGCAGATTGCCGCTTGCGGCTATATTATACATTTGTTTTTTCACCAAAGTGTCGCGTTAAGTCAGTTACGTAAAGTGTTAGTTTTCGGCTCTTTGCTCACCTTTATCTCCTGCGTCTGAGTGACATTACTCTCCTCCTCTTCATCCTCTTCCAGCTCAACTCGCGGCCGCTTCAGCGACGGCTCCTCACTCACCACCGTCTCCTCCGCAATGTCTGTGGCTGGAACCGTCAGCACTGAGGGAACACAATCACACCTCTATTATCACTGATATTAACCATAACACCTCTATTAACACTGATATTAACCATAACACTGATGTTAACACTGACACTAACATTGATATTAAACATAACACTGCTATTAACACTGATATTAACACTGACACTAACACTGATATTAACCATAACAATGTAAACATTTAAAAATGAAACAATATAAGCCATATCGCCCCTACACGTCCTGTAATGTATTAAAGTCTGTCAGAATGACTGTGTGGATCATATGAACATTATAGTGCACTTTTTAAATGAAACAATAGAAGCCATATCGCCCCCTACACTTCCTGTAGTGTATTACAGTCTGTCAGAATGACTGTGTGGATCATATAAACGTTATAACAATAAAAATCTGTTGAGAACTGGTGTTTTTTTTTTTGTTTTTTTTTTAAATATTCCCGGGCCAATATTCCTTGGCCACACCACCACCGCCCCCTTTTTCAGGGGACATACATTTTTATTTTTTTTTTTCTTTTTCATTTCGCTATTAATGTCACAACTCATTGTTTATTAATGATCATATAGATATAAGGTGATGTGGTACCACAACCACCCAACCCCCCCATCCCCTGCTTTGAGTGGAAAAAAAAACAGAAATAACTGAGAGACAAAACAGAAGAAGTTAAGAGAAAAGATGAAATAACAATAATAATAATGATAATAATAATAATGATAACAATAACACTCAACAATGGACAAACTGGACATACAGGGCAGACAAACAGAACAGTAAACAAGGTAGTAATGCCCCCTTCCTTTTTTTTTAATGTAATTATAACGTGGGTAGTTATCAAACCCTATGTACGGGTTTTAACCTTTTCCTGAGTTTGGAGAGTGAAATCAGCTCTGAATATATTGTAAAAATTGTGATCAGGTTTCCTTGAATGATTTTGTGTTATTTTTAAAATTTGAGTCTTTCCAAGTTTCAGTGATCCATGAGGAGGTTAAGCCAATGCTTTATTGAAATTTTGGTTCTGTCCTTCCAGTTCAGCAGTATAACTTTTTTGGCAATGGTAAGTGATATGAATATAAAGGATTTGAGGTGCTGAAAGTGAGGAATGGTCATTAATTAGTGCTAGAATGGGACATAAAGGGATGACAATGACAAAACTGGTGTTGTTGACATCGTTGAGTAAGTGCTGTGGCTCTGACACTCAATGATGTTGCATGTTCAACCTCATGTTTATGCTAACTACATAGTGCTCATCAGTCTGGAGGTAAGTGAAGGCAGAGCCTACCTTGCTGTCCGTCAGGCATGGTGACGATGATTGGCTGGCTGATGGCTCCGCCCGTCTGCAGGTTGCCCAGTTGAATGCCATCAGTCACTATAGTGATGACTTGCTGACCTCCAGAGCTGACGACCTGCTGGATGGCTCCATCGACGGAGTCTGCCGCTACGACTTCCTCTGCAGCCATCACTGCAACACCAAACACACACTACAGTCACAAATTACTGACAAAAATACTTAAGCTGCTTAATCCATCAACAATTAGAAAAGGAACAAACATGAACAATACAGCAAATTTAGCAAAGAAAACAGTGAAAAAATGAGAATACAGTCTGGTTTTGGCTAAGTAAGTTTCAACAAGATTAATATTTTTTGGCACAGACAACCTGCACATCTCTGCTACGCATGAATATATATACTTACAGTTTGTAAAACAATTCAGCTGAAAGTGATGCGATACAAATGTTACAACTTACCCCACAGGAGAGAATTGAGAAATAAGAGCATTACTACAATACTTACAGAGCCTAAATACAACAAGCATAATCATTTCATCAGATATAAATGAACAAGGCGCATGTCTGATACAGGATCTGAACACTGTGTCTCTGTGATCCTGTGCGTTATTGTTGTTTTAGCTTGGGTGGTTTTATTCCCTCTGAAATCAATATTGGTGTAAAGTGCATCTGAAATGGTGGACCATTAGAGACAGTGAAGCTTTGAAGAGACAAAGAGCTTCTTCACAGGGCCGTGGTGGTGGGGGGGGGGCGGTGGGGTGGGTGGAGGTCAGTAAGAACAACCAAAATCATCTCAGCCAAAAAATTCACACATCAAAAGCAAACAGCACATACCAGAACAAAGGCCATCGTCAATAAAGGGAATTTATGCCAAATTACTTTTACATTACTTTTCCATAGTGATATGCAGAATGCTGCACTCCAAAGTAAAAAGCAAAAGCTCGATGACATTGTTTGCACGTCACTTGACCTCTTTACTATAAACAGTACATGGAGATTTGCTTTTAAAAAATGAAATGCTGAATTTGTGTCAGAAATGCATACAGTCCACCCTGAAATGTAATCAATGCGCAGCTATACTGCTGTCCACCACACTGTACTTCAAATGCATACGCCTCATTGAAATGCCATCAGAACAGTGAAAAATCTGATAAAAGAGATGGATTTTAGCTCAGTAATCAGATTTCTCAGTGCATGTACACTCATACTCCGATTTCTATCGGATTTCTCAGTCTGTGCATACACGAGAATAGCCGGTAGATGTTGTGAGGTGGCAGCAAAACAATTTTGGAGAGACGCTGAAACCAAACACGAAATAAAGGATTTAAATATTCTTCATCTTCTAAATGATGTATATTCATATTTTCAGGTAACGTGGTGCGATCTTAACACTCCGTTTGGAGTGTGCCTCTGAAGAACCTCCGTTTGGAGGGTCATGTAGCCCTAACACTTCACCCTACCCCTCTATCTTAACACAAATTGGCACACCCTAACCCTAAATGTGAACGCGCAAAACAGAGGGTTAAGGGCTAAGTGGTAGAGGCAAGGGGTGAAATGGGATCGGGCCACACTTTCACACTCATCAGAGAAAACAATCTATTTTTGTTTCAACATGTAAATCTGTGTAAATGTAGATATTTCTGTGTGAGTGCAGGACACTTTCATGCCAGGACGGTTTCATGCCAGCTAAAAAGTCAGCTAAATAGCAAGCAAGGTGGCTAATTAGCCGAATATTTTCAACTAGTTTCTGTTAAGAATGAGAATGACCACTCAGTGTTATGTTGCGTATTACCAGGCTCAGTCGTACCTGCGGATTTGGCGGGATTCCCGGGGGAGATGAGTCCGGCCAAGTTGACAACCCCTCCAGGTCCGATGATGAACTGTGGTGAAGCTGTGTGGATGGTCAGCATGTCTGGACTCTCCGGGTTAGTGTTTATCTGATTCTGCATGGCCACCTGCCAGGAAACCAAAAAATACTACTACTGTTATACTCAAGTCCAAAGAGCAGTCCAGCAGTCCAGAGAAAAATACTGTACAGTGTGATCGACAGTATCATCCCATTCTATGGTGACATTATGACGATGTTATTATAAGGCTATAATGAGGATGTCATTATGTTGATGTTCATGTTATGAAGACTATGATGAGGCAAATTAACATAAGTAAAAGTTATTTATGTTAATTTGCCTCATCATAACCTTTATTTATATTAATTTGCCTCATCATAAAAGTTATGATGATGTTTATAATAATAACGTTGATGAGCAATGAGGTTATGATAACATTAGGATAATGATATGATAATATGACAAGGCCAATTATGAGGTCATGATAAAGTTATGATGAGGCGAATTATGCAGTCACAATGAGATTATGATGAGGCCAATTATGAGGTCATGATGAGGTTACAACGAGGCCAGTGAGATCATGATGAGGCCAATTATGAGGTCACGATGAGGCAAATTATGAGGTCATGATAAAGTTATGACGAGGACAATTATGAGGTCTCTATGAGATAACGATGAGGCCAATTATGAGGCCACGATGAGATTACAATGAGGCCAGTGAGATCATGATGAGATTATCATAAGGTTAATTATGAGGTCATGATGAGGTTAAGATGAGGCCAATTACGAGGTCATGATGAGGCTACAACACGGCCAATTACAAAGTCATGATGAGGCTATGACAAGACCAATTACAAAATCACAACGAGGTTATGACAAGGCCAATTTTGAGGTTATGATGAGGCCAAATACGAGGTCACAATGAGGTTATGATGAGGCCTATTATGAGGTCACGATGAGGTTATGACGAGGCCAATTATGAGGTCACAATGAGTTTACAACAAGGACAGTGAGATCATGATGAGATTATGATGAGGCTAATTATGAGGTCATGATGAGGTTAAGACGAGGCCAATTACGAGGTCATGATGAGGCTACAACAAGGCAAATAATGAGGTCATGATGAGGCTATGAGGAGGCCAATTACGAGGTCATGATGAGATTGCAACGAGGCCAATTCGGAGGTTATGATGAGGTTACAACAAGGCAAATTATGAGGTCAATTATGAGGTCACGATGAGGTTACAACAAGACAAATTATGAGGTCAATTATGAGGTCACGATGAGGTTACAACGAGGCCAATTATGAGGTCACGATGAGGTTATAACGAGGCCAACTATGAGGTCATGATGAGGTTATGAACAGGTTACGATGACGATGTGATCACATTATAAGGAGACTATGATTGGGCTATGATGGTGTTAATGTGAAGTTATGTCTGTGTGATTGGTCGTTATAGATCATCATCTCCATTGTACAGCCCACCTGCAGCATTTCGGACAGTTCCTCGTTGTTGTTGTCCAGCGCAATGTCCAGCGCAGTCTTGCAGAATTTGCTCTGAGCGTGGACATCTGCCCCAAAACGCAGCAGCAGCTCCACCACATCGCGGTGACCGTGCTCCGCTGCCCAGTGAAGAGCCGTCATCTTCAGCATGTCTTTAGCATTAACATCAGCACCGTGCTGTACACACACACACACGCCGACACACAATGCAGTCATTGTTAGTGTGTGAGAGGATGAAAGCTCAGGAACTGGTTTATTCTGTAATTACTAAATTATATCTCCAATACAGCACAAATGCACAATGCAGTAACATCAAAGCAGATTCCACATCATATGATGCACTTTCCCTTCATAAGCACATCAAATACAAACTGACCTCATATCCTGTCTGTGAAGATGGCAAACCTATAGGGCATTTTATTAATGACAATTTTAGTTTAGAAGAACTCTAAAAAAATATTCATTAACCAAGCCAATGTATTCTGTGATTCGATTTCATTAACAATTCTTTCAGAAATGATTCAGCGCAACAGGAAATATTAAATTTTACCCCCATTTGATTTGATATTTTCATATAAATCGGAATTATTATTAAAAATGCCCTGAATACACAAATGTAAAAGGAGGAGCTATTTACACGGTAAATATACAGTTTAACTGTTGAGCAAAATGTTTACATTTGAAAATAATCATATAATTGCATTTTGGATTATTTTCCAAAATTGGTGTAGTTGAATAATGTGCAATTAAATCAATTACATAAACACTGATCAACCAGTAGAATAATAAAGCTGATCTGAATGTGGTGATTCACTTGATTCTGGAATATTAGAGTCAGTTATGGCTGATTACAATAATACTCAATGTTAATATGTTGTTGTATTGCACTCCTGTGTGAACTCAGTGTTCTTTTGTAAATAACTCTGAATCAAATCAGAAGAATCTGGCAAAATTTCATGATTCATCAAATCAATTATTATAGAATCATAGTCAAATCATTTCACACCCCCAAACAACACTTGAATTGGAAAACTGTTCTTCACATTTTGTGCTGATTTTGATTTGTTTATTGAATTCTAAGTCAGAAAGCTCCGCCCACCTGCAGCAGCACCTCCACGATGCGAGCGTGGCCCTCTGAAGCTGCCATGTGCAGAGGAGTCCGGTCCACTTTGGTCCGAGCGTCGCGGCTGACGCCGGCGCGCAGAAGCACTTCAGTGGTGGAGTAATGACCGTACTGAGCGGACAGGTGCAGCGGGGATGTCCCCAACTTCATGCACGCACACACACACAGAGAGACACACACACACAGACACACACAGTCACAGAGTTCAGTCGAGCACTCAGTTCACTGTTCCTGGCATCAGTACTGAAACACTGCAAACACTGTTCAGCTATTGTTACGTTTAATCACAGCAGGTCAGTTAGAAAATAAACAGACCAACAATTCAGTAAAACACAACTCTGCTCATGTTTAAAGTTAAGTATATTACATTATATACGGATGTTATGCTGTATTATATTGAACTGTTTCACAATGTATTGTACTGTACCAAACTGTATTGTAGCATAATGTATCAAACTGTAATGCTACATATTGTATTACATCAAAGAGTAACACTACGTCATATTGTACCAAACTGTAACACTACATATCATGTTGTATTAAAGTGTCACACTACATATCGTATTGTATCAAACTGCAACACTATGTAACGAATTGTATTAAACCATAAAGGTACGTCATGCTGTAACAAAGCATAATGTTATGTATCATATTGTATCAAATTGTAATGCTACGTATCACGTATTGTATTTAAGCATAACTCTACTTATCGTATTGTATCAAAGCATATCACTACTTATTACATTGTATAAAATTGTAACACTACCTATAATATTGTATCAGCGTAATGTCTCGTATTGTATCAAAGTCTAATACCACATATTGTGTTGTATCACATTATAACATTACTAACTAGATTGCATCGTAACACTATCACAACGTATCCTATTATATGGAAGCATAAAGCTACGTATCGTACTGAATCAAACTGTAGTACTGTGCACTATATCACAGCAGACTGCATTGTATCGCAAAGTATGATTCAATAAAGAATGGTATCACGTTTTATTAGAGAATATCACACGAATGCATGTCCTGAATCACTCACCTACTCACAAAGAGTTTATTTTAACTATTTTTTACATTTTAGAATAACAGAAAAACTAAATAATATACATGAAATAACACAGTGACCAAGAAAAGAAGACCAAAAGTGTTTAACTAATCAAACTATCTTCCATTTTAGATTCGGTCACAATCCAGCACCCCCTGCCCTTTACAGTCCTGATGTGAGGAACCACCTGAGATGCTGTTCCAGGTCTAACTAAAGAACACAGGCTGATAGAAGTGAGAGACGTTATGCTCTGATCACGTGACTCACCCAGTCTGTGGTGAATGGAGCACCGTTAGCCATGAGGATCCGAACCTCGTCGTCCTGCCCGGAGCGTGCCGCCTCAAGCAGCTTCTTCCCCAGATCCACCAGAGACATCTACAACCACAAACACACACAGTTACAGTCAGCACCACAAACACCGTCTGTCCAAATGTATCCCGATGCTCCTCCTAATGAGAGAACTTATAAGCACCCATCGCTGACACAGCTAGCATCATCTCCATAGAAAACCTCGGACAAATAGAACAACTGCACATGAGCCTAAGGTCTCCATGTACACTGATCAGGCATAACATTATGACCACCACCTTGTTTCTACGCTCATTGTCCATTTTATCAGCTCCACTTACTATATAGGTGCACTTTGTAGTTCTACAGTTACAGACTGTAGTCCATCTGTTTCTCTGATACTCTGTTAGCCCCCTTTTACCCTGTTCTTCAGTGGTCAGGACCCCCATGGACCCTCACAGAGCAGGTACTATTTGGGTGGTGGATCATTCTCAGCACTGCAGTAACACTGATGTGGTGGTGGTGTGTTAGTGTGTGTTGTGCTAGTACAAGTGGACCTTTATTAATGCTTATTAGTGCTTCATTAAAATGGAGCCACATGGATGGTTAGCCAGCGTACAAATGAGGGGAAAATTCATGAAAACGAAATAAACTGTGCTTTTCCTGTCTGCAAATGCTCCTTCTGTTTGGTTTACGTGTACAGCACTGCATCAGATTTCATTTTATTTTTATTTGAGGAGAAAAGAAGAAGCTCTGTCATATTTGTTTTCAGTACAGAGCAGCAGCACGCAGGACACACAGGCATCAACTTTATTAAAGGGGAATTACACCTATTTTCTGTATAATTGAGTGAGTGATATGTAAATAGAGTGATTCAGAGTGGTTTGGTGTGAAATGTGAAATTTGGTTCAGATGTCTTTAAAGTGGTGGTGATAGGAACAAGGGGTCGCCATGACTACAACACAAATATAGACATTTTATTTATTATCCAAAACCACCAGTAAACCTGCACGTGTCATCTGAGTTTTATATGGAATACTGATGATGGGAAAATATTGGAAAATCTGAAACAAAAAGTTTTCTTTGGGGACTATTTTGCCTCACAGCGCCCTGCATGTATCCCTCCACCATGAATGGAATTTAAGTTCTCAAAACTATCGTAAAACATTGTCTCTGACATCTGGCAGTGTATTCATAACCATTTTATGTAATAACTTTATGTGAGGGAGCTTTAAGAAATGGACGTCTGGTTCCTATCACCACCACTGTGAGCAATTCTGAATTGGTAGGTTTCTCTAGAAAGGAGCGTTTCACACAAAACCACTCTGTTTACATCTTAATTGCTTAATTATGGGGAATTATAGATAAAATCCATTTCGTTTCCCTTTACACTGCAATATGAACAGTGGGTCAAAGGTTTGTGCATTTATTTGTTTGTTTCCTAGCTAACCATTTAGGCTCAACATCATGATATTTTCCCAAACATATCACAGTAGCAGGTTATATATAAGCTAAGTTAGCATTAAAGGGGAATTCCACAGATTATTAAAAATATATATTTTTTTAATAATATTTTAATAATTAAAATGTAAACAGAATCGTTCAGAGTGGTTTGGCCACTCTGCGGTTTGAATCACTGTTTACATCCTCAAACACTGAAGCAAATTTGAAAAATCTGTGGAATTGCACTTTGACGCCAACCCACATTTACAGCAGCAGGGTCGCTTTAAAGGCCCTTAGATGACGACTAAAGTGGGACGGCAGCATTTAGGTCGTGTAATAGTGATCACATAAACCATATAAATGTTAAAACCGCGTTTAAATGCTGAATTAATCCGCTGTGTTTGTGTTGTAGCTAACTTAGTTGTCCTGTCTGCGTTTACGGAGCAGCGGCCTTCCCTTTATTAGTGACACGGCAGCCAAAGCAGGCCACAAAGACGAGCTTTTAGGTAAACAAGGGGACGAAACAGAAAGAAATAAATGCCAAAAATGAATAAAATAAGTGCCGAAACGCAGTTCGGCTCAAAGTAATGGACAGGAAATCACAGAGATGGCGGTTCCGGGGGAAGTGGAAATATTTTTTACCACCAAAAAGCGACTCGACTTCCACATCCGGTGGAGCGGCAACAAAAAGCTAGCAGAAAGTTTTAAACGTTTCGCTCCGATTTTGGAGCTCCACAAGGCCTTACCTTCAGATTTGAGGGCTTTTGGCAGGCTGTAGAGCTTTACAACGAGAGAGAAAAGATCCCGTTCATGTGTTGTCTTCGATCGGAGCACAAAAAATGTTTTTGTAGCCCAGAGAAACGAGCGCGGAGGGATACAGCGCTATTCGCCAGCTTCTCGCTCGAATTTTCCCGTTCCACCTTAAATAGTGAAGTAGTTATAAGGTAACTGCTGCACTATTTAAGGTGGACCGGAAAACTCGAAAGGGAAGCTGTCGAGTAAGAAGCTAACTTCACTATGAGCGCGATTTTCTTACACTTTTAGACCAAATAGTTCAGGTTTAAGTTCTTAAAACAAAATTTCGTATGATTTAACGCCCCCTCTCACACGCAGCAAATAAACAAAACAACAGTAAAGTTAGACCAAGCGGAGTGATACACCGTCTGGTGGGGGAGATGCGTCGCTGGCCAAGCATTATTAGCTCATCCGAAAAGAATAAACACACTAATTAAATTATTCATTTTAAAACCTTTATAAGCGTTAACAATGAGTCGATTCGTGTCTACATGTATCTGAGCCCTTTCCACATCTCAGAATCAGGTCACAATACAGTTTTACTACGTGTAAAATGGAAAAAATAGAGGTCTTATATTTATTTTCATTTATTAATTGTATTGATGATTCAGCGAATCTTCTTTAAATATTTAAAGCAGTAGAAGGCAAACCATGTCTTCCATGTTTTCAATAAAGCTTCCCTATTTTGAACCAACTCTGTGAGGTTCAGGATGAGGACGTTCGTTTTCATCACACCCATATTCAGACAAGCTACTCCCTTCCTGCGCTCCGATTGGCTGGCAGGGTGCCGCCCCTACAACGTTCATGTAATACAGATAAAAGCAACATATACACATAATGATAATAATAATAATTATTACTATTGTTGTTGTTGTTTTGTTGTTGTTGTTATTGTCATTGCTAGTAGTAGTAAATAAAATACATACATTTACATATATTTATACATCTGTTTGTAATGAATACATAATTAGGAAAAAAACTTACAAAGCTGATGAAACAGTTATACCAAGAGTGTTGCAAACATACACAAATATATTATCATATCAAAAATCCCCTCTAGTAACAGGGATGAAATGACACGCCAAACAATTTTCATAATGTAATAACCAATTATTATTTTCATATAATAACATTGAATTATTGCTCATATAATGTTTTGACAAGTCGAAACATTCGTTAAATAAATTGTGTTATTTTTGTTCAGAATTTACGAGGATGCTCCACTAATTAACCCTTAATGAGAAGTGTTAGAGTTACTGTGAAAGGATTAATAATAGATATCATATATATTATATATAGATATTGTATAATATAATATTCACAGTTACCAACTCTACATTTTCCTCTAAATGACACAAAATAAAAACTATGTATTCATTTATTATACTTACCAGTACACAACATACTGTACATAACTAATGGACACTGTATATGTAACACGGTATATATTTACATTTCTGTATATTTGTAAAATATTTCTCACTGTATTTTTTTTACATTTTTGCTGTTGCACTGTTTGTTTTTTTTTTCCACACAGTGTTACTATTTGCATTTCTGGGAGATGTTAACTGCATTTCAATAAAGTTGAATTGGTCTCTGTCTGTCTATTCAGTTTATTCAGAGCCATTGGCCAACTGTGCTCTGCATTTAACCCAACCATGCAGTGAAACACCCACATACGTGCACAATAGTGAACGCACACACTAGGTGGCAGTGAGCACACCTGCCCAGAGTGGCGGAAAGCCCTATCCACGACGCCCAGGGAGCAGCTGGGGGTTAGATGCCTTGCTCAAGTGCACTTCAGTCGTGTCCTGTCGCCTCAGGTGTCACTGGTTATCTATCTATCTATCTATCTATCTATCTGTTTAAAAAACATTTGAAGTACCTTTGTTTTAGGTTAAAATTGTGCATATATATCATTAAATACACATATGTTTATATTTGTCTTAGAAACAACTTTTAAGCATGAGGTTTTTGTTAAAGGAAACCACCCAATCAAGTGTGTCCAAACTTTTGGCAAGTTTTAGATAAAAAATGACATTATCAACACGTTTTAAAAGAAAATTTACTCTTCAGTCTCTACAATAACCATTTCACACCAAACAACTCTAAATGACTCTCAAACACTAAATTATGGCGGAATTTTGAAAAATCGGTAGAGTTCCCCTTTAACTTCACTGTATTCTGTACTGTCAGGTGATCCGGTAATGAATAACAATAAATCCAGCCAATCATGGCGCAGCGGGGGCGGGTCTTATCGGAAAACGGGTGTGAAATAAAATACCAGACTGTTCCGGGAATCAGCTGTAGGAGTGAAACTGTTTTCGATGTTTCTGCTTTACGGTTTGTTTTATTATATTCTTTCTTACGCTACGCACGTGAAATCTTAACGTTTAGCCAAAATAGATGCCAACTTTATAGAAGCAGAACGTTATAAACGCATTTCGAAGGACTGTTAGCTAGCTTAGCTTAGCTTAGCTGTGCTGATTTGCTGTGTTAAAGGGCTTTAGGTTAGCTAGCTGCTCACTTCCTCATTAACAGGTTATAAATATACTGCATTTCTCTGATTTATACTTGTTATGGCTGAGCTGTGTTGTTAGTTAACGAAGCTGAAATCAGCTTATTATTCTTATTCACCAGCTTCTTGTTCGAAATTTCCGTTCCACCTTAAATGGTGCAGCAGTTACATTCTGACGCCTGAAGCACCATTTAAGGTGCAACGGGAAAATTCGAACTAGCAGCTTGTGAACAGGATGTTTAGGTGCCTGTTGTTCATAACAGCCACAAAGATCCAGTATTTTCCAGAAGCTCCGGTGCTGTAGCTCACCTGCACAGGTGCTTTACTGCACTAACAAACACCACTGAGCTCCAGAAAGACTATTCATGACTAATGATGGAACTCTCACCTGTGTCACCTGTGCAGGTGGGCTACAGGACTGGATAATATCTCTGAACATGCTGTTTGATCATGTAAGTTGCTGAAACGTGACATTTCTGTCAAGTGTGAGCACTGTTTTTCAAAATTCCCAGATTCAGAGTGATTTGGTGTGAAATGGTTCAGATTTCGTTACAGTGGTGGTGACAGGAACCATGACTGCAGCACAAATGTAGACATTTTAGACCTGCATGTGTGTATTATATGTGATGTTAGAGGTTAACGTAATAAATTGTGTCACAATATTGTTTTCTGCACATATTGTGAATATAATCAGTACTTCATTACAAAGTGAGAATAATTAGCGTAATAAGGTTTGTTTAATTTCATTTAATGCAGTACAGTTTGTAAAAACACTGAACAAAATTTGTTGTAGTTATTATAGTATTTTTATATCTCAAAAATACTTAATATTGTGATTCATTGCATGTATTGTGACAATAGCTTGAAGTATTGTGATATAATATTTTGTCATTGCTCACCTTTATGTAATGTTGATGATGGTAAAATAGTAGAAAATTTGAAATAATACATTTTCACTGGGGACTATTTTGCCTCATAGCACCCTGCATGTATCCCTCCACCATTAACGGATTTTTAAAAATACAGAATATCATAAAAGGTAAACTACTCTGAACGGCTTTGTTTACATCTTAACCATTTAATTATGCAACAATTTTGAAAAATCAGTGGAATTCCCTTTTAAGATGTAAACAGAATAATTCAGAGTGGTTTGGTGTGAAACGCTCTGTTCTAGAGAAACTTACTGAGTCAGAACTGTTCACAGTGGTGGTGATAGGAACCAGACGTCCACATCTAAAAGCTCCGTCACAGAAAGTTACTACATAAAATGGTTATGAATACAGTGCCTGATGACTGAGACACTGTTTTATGCTAGTTTTGCAAACTTAAAATCCATTCATGGTGAAGGGATTCATGCAGGGCACTGTGAGGCAAAATAGTTCCCAAAGAAAACGTATTATTTCAGATTTTACACTATTTTCTCATCAACATTCCATATAAAACTCAGAAGACACATGTAGGTTCACTGGTGGTTTTGGATATTAAATAAAATGTCTGATAAATAAAATTAATATGTGTGTTGTTGTCATGGTGACCCCTTGTTCCTATCACCACCACTGTAGAGACGTCTGAACCATTTCACACCGAACACTTAATTATGGGGGAATTTTGAAAAAAAAAAATAGGTGGAGTTCTCCTTTAAGTGATGTTGCTGTTTGACGTTAGCTGAGTGTGTCATGGTGTTGACAGGTTGCGTCCCGATGCTGACGTAGCTGAGGAGGATGTGAGGAGATGTTTGTTTCTCTGTGAGCTGTGAGCTGAAGACGTGCTGAAGATGCCTGCGGTGTCGACGGGGGTGAAGGAACTCTACCTGTCCACTTCACTGGGAGATCTGAACAAGAAGGCCGAGATTAAACCTGATAAAGTCAGCACCCGACAGTAAGAGCCTTTTTCACTCTGTCTGTGAACAGCTGCGACAACTGCTGAAGTACTTCACATACATATGAACATACTAAAAACATATAAATAACTATATATATGCCAGTAAAAATCAACCATGTATCATTAGAATAAATACAAACAAACATAAATACACACTTAATATATAAATATATCAGTCCTTGAGATGTAAACTGAATCATTCAGAGTGGTTTGATAAGGAATGGTTCACCATAGAGAAACTTACAGACTCCGATTTCTTTACAGTGATGGTGATCGGACCCAGGGGTCACCATGACAACACAAATATAGACATTTTATTTACTATCCAAAACCACCAGTGAACCTACATGTGTCTTTTAACCTTTTTTGGGGAGGGGCTATTTTGCCTTACAATGCCCTGCATGAATCCCTCCACAGTGAATCGACTGAAATAAATGGATTAAAATACATTTTAAGCCAAAACCTTATCACACAACTATCGTAAAACAATGTCTCAGTCATCAGGCAGTGTATTCATAACCATTTCATGTAATAACTTTCTGTGAGGGAGCTTTTAGAGGTGGACGTCTGGTTCCTACCACCACCACTGTGATCAATTCTGACTCGGTAAGTTATCTAGAACGCAGCATTTCACACCAGACCAATCTGAACAACTCTGTTTACATCTTAACTGTTTAATTATGTAGAATTTTTGAAAAATTGGTGGGGTTCGTAAAGAAATGGTTTTGTGTAGAACCATGTGTATAGAACTGTTTACATACTTAAATGGTTCTCTGCATGGTGAAATCGTTCTTCAGATTGATGGAGAATCTGTTGTATATGGTTCTACATTGTGGTTGGGCAGATAGATGATGACAGACATCATGATCGTGATGCTACAGTGCCCCACCCCCCAACTATTATGAAACAACGTAATCAAAATAAATGGTTATTGAACCACGTTCCGTTTCACAGTGATGCACTTGTTTTATCTTATCTGTTATAGCTTTCGCCCCTCCCTTAAAGCCTAAACTCATCTCATTTATTTTGGTCTAATTTATTTTTATTTATTATTTTTATATGCCTTTAGTACTTATCAGTAGGTTGTGGAAGTGCACTACAATGTAGTTGATTTTATTTATTTATTGTTGTATTTGTTCTTATTTATTATTTTTATATTATGTATTGAAATGCGTTTAATTTTATGTATTATCCATAAATTGTAATTATTTTAATTTAAATGATAATTTTTTATGCATTTATTTTTTCGTTTGTTTTTCAGTTGAATTAAAGTTCAGGAAATCTGCTGTTAAAAAGATTTTTTAAAAGTTCAATAAGTGCATGATGTTTCCAAAGTCAGTGAGTAATTGTGTTAAATAATCATGATCTCAATATTGACAAAAATATTTGCAATTATGATTTTCGGCATAATCGATCAGCCCTAATTGTGTATTAAAATGTGTAGAAGTGTATTAACTTACTTGCACTCAGAAAAACATTTATTCTCCAGAAATGAACTGATTCTCCTTCTATATGTTATATTTTTGGTTAATATTATTTTGCCCCACCCACTGGCACACATCAATGTCACCAAAAATCATATGGTGACTTAGAGGTGAGACTAAAGTCATGACATTTAGATAAAAGATTACGGAAAGCAAAATCTTTTAAATGAAAATGAAATGATGAATCTCGCTCAATATGATAAGCAAATTGAATTAACAAGATAAAAAGGTCATTTTTGATCGACTTTAAAACCAATCAAGATTAATATCTGTGTAACATTGAGCAGGTTTGTCAGTACCGGTGTCATTGTTTTGCAGTTATGTTCAGAGTGCATGTAAAATCTTCAAAGCGGCAGAGGAGTGCCGTTTGGACCGGGACGAGGAGAAAGCCTACGTCCTCTATATGAAATACCTGACTGTGTACGACCTCATCAAAAAGAGACCAGACTTCAAACAGCAGCAGGTAAACACGAGACAATCCAGACATCATCCGCCATCAGTTTAGCCAAAACCATCGCACTTTCCATCACTGTACTGTTTAACCCTCTGGGGTCCACAAACTCAGGTTGATCTTTAGCCACGTTTCTCACTCATTAATCTGTTTTTAATGTATTGCATGTAGGACTGGGCTATAAAGCGATATTTATTATTATTGTGATAATTTGAATCACAGTAAACGTTTCTGAGCACATTGTGGATATCGCTACTTAAAGAACTCTGACCAACTGCATGATTGATCACAAAGAGAGAATAATTAGTCCTGTTTAATTGGATTTAGTGCAGTGCAACTCTGAATACAAATCAGTGTACTCATAGTTTTTTTATTTGAGCATTTCTAATACTTTGTCTGTTCTAGCTTATCAGATGTCAGAAAAATTTAATATTGTTGTGTATTTGGAAAACGTCTTGAAGTATTGTGATGTTGTATTTTTGCAGAGCACATCACATTCCCAGTAAAAGTGCAGGCACTGAATATGTTCTCAGCTGGTTAGTATATTGTGTTAGTTCTAATGTTTCTATTTTAATTTTTTCAGGATTTCTACCTGTCCATCCTCGGGCCGACAAGCTTTAAGAAGGCGATTGAGGAGGCGGAGAAACTGTCAGAGAGTTTAAAGCTCAGGTTACATACATACACATTGCATTTATCACTCACCCCCTAAACCTAAAGAGCCCAAATCCTAGAGTCTCCTTTCAGTTTTTATTCAAGCTTGAGAAGTGGATTGCTGGTGTTCTTGGACAAAATGACAGACATGGAAACTCAGAAAACTGATGTGTTTAGTCTCTATGACGACTTCAGTACGGACTGACTTTAGGACAGTAGTTTTTACAGAGTTACAGTTAATACAGTTCCTAACTTCATAATCTGATCATTAACTCCAGATAGGAAAACAGTATTACAGAAACATCCTAACTAGACTAAATCTCCTAAATACTCTCCTAACTGTAGGATAAACCCCAACAGTGTCCTAACTTCTGTTTAAGCGTCTTTTTCTATCGTTTTTAGCTAGCATAGTTCACTACTAGCATAATGACTCTACATTTATTCATACTGTAAAACACTGATTTAACTGTGAGATGTTTTTCTTTTCTAACTCTGTGTTTTAAAAATCTCAGACACTGCAGACACGATCTTCACCATCACCTCTTATTACCTTTGTGTGATAAAATATTACAGTGATGGTGGTGTATAACGAGGAGGAGAGCTGAATGTGTGTCTGTTTGTTAGGAGGAATAACGTTAGTGCGCTCGGCTAAAGCGTTTGGGAAATAGAGACTGGGGAAGTTTCTGAAATACGGCCGCTGGGCCTTAATTTACGGAAAATTAGCGCAATTTAAATCATAGTCACTGTGCTGATCAGAAACATCACACTTGGACATTCTCCCCAAATCATGTAGCTCTTTCTTTAACCCTTTAAAAGGGCATTTCCACCAATTTTTCAGAATTCTTCCATAATTGAGTGTGTGAGATGTAAACAGAGTGATTGAGAGAGGTTTGGTGTGAAATGGTTCAGATTTCTTTACAGTGGTGGTGATAGGAACTAAGGGTCATCATGACGGCAACACAAATATAGACATTTTATTTACTATCCGAAACCACCAGTGAACCTACACGTGACTTCTGACTTTTATGCATAAACTTATGGAATGTTTATGATGGAAAAATAGTGGAAAATCCATAATAATAAGTTTTCTTTGGGGACTGTTTTGCCTCTGCATGTATCCCTCCACCATGAATGGAGTTTAAGTTATCAAAACTATCATAAAACAATGTCTCAGACATCAGGCAGTGCATTCATAACCATTTTATGTAGTAACCTTCTGTGGGACGGAGCTTTTAGAGGTGGACGTCTGGTTCCTATCACCACTACTGTGAACAATTCTGACTCTGTAAGTTTCTCTGGAACAGAGCGTTTCACACCAAACCACTCTGAACGACTGTTTACATCTTAACCATTTAAATATATAGAATTTTTTGAAAAAATCGTTTCAACTAGTCATCCTAAGTTTTATTTAGTTTAGGTCACTTGTAATCTTTTGTTAAATTACAATCACTGTAAGATCACACCAGAGTGTATGAATGTTTTATATTTGAGGTCTGAAATGACGAATTAAATATCTTCGTATAAACGCATTCTGACCTTAGGGTCTCATTCCAGCTCTGAAGTGAGTACCTTTCTCTCGCAGGTATGAGGAGGTAGAGGTACGGAAGAAGCTGGAGGAGAGAGACAGGAGGGAGGAGAGAGAGAGAGAGAGACGGGAGGAGAGGGCGAGAGCAGAGGAGAGAGACGGAGGCCGAGCTTCACCTAAAGCAGCAGAAAACAGGAGAGACAGTAAAAAGGTTCAGGATTCAAAGTTCAGCTTTTACAGTGTCGTAAATCTGTTGTGTTTACTGTGTTTACATGAAAGAGGCTGCCTGTGTTTGTGTTTACTGAAGCAGAAGTGATTTTGGCTTTTTCTCCTTTCTGCTTTTCACACAGGCTAAAGGGGAACAGAATGACCTGAAGAGTGCGCCCTCTACAGGTGAGGGACGTTTGTTTTTAAGGGAATAGTTTAGTGAAAAACTCAAGTTTAAACAGGTTTCCACTCACCCCAGATATAATTTTGCTTCTTCATAAATAACTTTCTATATAACTTTATAAATAAATTATAAATCTTGAATCTCCAAACAGAAAATATATATGTATAAATAGAAACAACAGAATTTGACCCAACACCCATTATCTAAAGCATCTATCTGCAGTGTTTAAATTCATGTTTAGAGTTCACAGTGAGTCCTAAATCACATCTCCAAATCTGCATCACCTTAATGAAGCCCTGGATGTGGTTTAAGGGGTAGTTTTCAGGATGAAGTTACAGAAACGATCTGGTGACTATTGATTTCTAGTGTTTCTCAGCAACATTAGCCTAGTAGCTTCAGCGCTAAAACAAAAGAAGCAAAACATGCATCTGTTCAAGTACATCTGGGGTATGTGGACAATTGCTCTTCATAACTAGTTTCTCTCTATGTCTCTATCTAAATGTTTTCTGATTAGTGATCTTTATTGCACAACTGCTTTACATGCAATATTGCAAATAAAAAAATAATACAAATAATAAAGTACTATTGATAAATAAATAAGTAAATACGTAAATAAAAAATGTAAGATGATCACCCTCAGGCTGCACCATGTCACAAATTTGTCTTTGCATTCCTCTCTGTATTTCTTTAGCGCCCCCTAGTGGAGGTATTACTGCGAAGCAGCTGTATAATATGATGCTGGACTCCAGCATGAGTGTGCTGGTGATGGATGCTCGTAAACTGGCAGACTTTGAGGAGTCACACATGATGGTTCAAGGTCAAAAGTGTATCACTGTTCCGGAGGAGGCCATCAGCCCTGGGTAACGACCCAACAAATCAATCCTAATAATCACACACATTACTATTACAGCTCCAATATTTAGATCAATAACAACACACATAACTATTCACGATTCCAGATTTAGTAACCACACTGATAATCGCACACATCGCTATTACAGCTGTAATAATTACCCCAGTAATCAAACACATCACTATTACAGATCATTATTATAGTTCTAATAGTCACTCCTGTAATTACACACCCTACTGTTATAGCTCTAATAATCATCCCTACAATCACACACATCACTACTACAGCTGTACTAATCAGACCGGTTACAACATACACCACTATTACAGCTTTAGTAATCACCCTTAATAATCACACACGTTACTGTTAAAACTGTATTAATCAGATCGATAATAACACACATCACTCTTACAGCTCAGTAATCACCTCAGTTATCACACACATTACTGTTACAGCTGTAATAATCACTCCAATAATCACACACATCACTATCACACAACTGTAAAACTGTATCCATTTATACTGTTTTGTGTCTGTGCTGTTATCTGGTGTCGACCAGAGGAGGATGGGTTCCCCTTTTGAGTCTGGTTCCTTTCGAGGTTTCTTCCTCCTGTTGAGGGAGTTTTTCCTTGCCATTGTCGCCAAGGCTTGCTCACTGGGGGCTTGGACCCGGATTCTCTGTAAAGCAGCTTGTAAAAGGCGCTATATAAATAAATTTGACTTGACTTGACTTGACTATTACATGTCTAAGTATCAGATCAATAACACATCGGTATTACAGCTCTAATAATCACATGAATAATCACATACATCATTGTCACTCTAATAATCAGCTCAATAACAATACGAACAATACGTCACTACTACAGCTGTAGTAATTACATTGAAAATCACACACATCACTATTCCAGCTCTAATAATCATCCTAATAATCACACAGATCACTTCTACAACTGTACTAATTAGTAACAACACATCACTATTACAACTCTAATCATCACCTCAGAAATCACACACACCACTATTACAGCTCTAATAATCAGGTCAATGACACATCACTAATACAGCTCTAATAATCACCTCAATAATCACACACATCACTGTTACAGCTCTAATAAGCACATTAATAATCACACACATCACTAATATAGTTGTAATAACCAGAACAATAGCACATTACTATTACAGCTCTAATAATCACCCCAGTAATCACATGCATCACTATTACGGCTGTAATAATCACATCAGTAACAATACATGACTATTACAGCTCTAATAAACACCTCAGTAATCACACACCACGATTACAGCTGTAATAATCACATTGATAATTATACCTGTTATTATTAAACTATAATAATTGTACCAACACATAAACACAGTGATCTACGGTTTGTCAGTGTGAATCTGGAGTTTTCTGAACATTGCAGAGTGTAGTACGGTGTCCCACAAGACTTTGTTTTAGGGTTTCTTACTGTTCTCCCTTTATTTACAGGCCTAATAGATACCAAATCTGTGAACACAACATTGCCTTTCATTTTATCCTGATGATAGTCAGTTATACTTGTCAGTCAGCCAGAATCAGTGACACAGTTGTACAGAGTGGAAGACTGTGTTAAAGATTTTAAAGCCTGGATGACTGTGAACTTCCTCCTGTTGAACTCTGATAAAACAGAAGTGTTGCTGTGGGGTCTGAAGTCTGCTCCAAATGAGATTGCCGTTTTTGTCCTTGACCTTAATGTTTCTGAGTGACCAAAAGCTCTGGTTAAAGCAACACTGTATGCTAGATTGTCATATGAGTAACAAGTAACATAAAAGTGTATTTTATTACTTGAGAAACATTTCCAAAATAAGACAAGTGCTGTTCCTACAAGATGCCGAGAAGAGTTCACAGATTAGACTGTAACGTGTTACTGGCTGGTTGATCTGCTGTCTCTATATTACTTCACTCATGTTCAGTTCACACTGACTTCCTGTTAAATTCTGCATCGACTACAAGGTCTGTGTATATGACATTTAAAGCTCTTAATGACTGAACTTTGGCGGATCTTATTGATCTGTTGAAGCTCTTACAGCTCTTACAGATCATTTCCTTAAAGAGCTCCTGAATTAAATATCAGGAATTTAAGTTTGATATGCCTAGAGTATGGTGGTTTCGTTTTTGGTTATTTTTCATTCATATGATGTTCTGGTATAAAACATTTTGTGATTTAGTGACTAAAATGGAAAGTGCTACATAAATAAAGATTCATTATTTATCATTATTTATTATCTGATTGTTATTACAGCTCTAACATTGTTATTGCAGCCCTAATAATCTCACGCAGCAAAAAACTATTAAAAACTTTACTATTTTTTCTTATGCTGTAATAACCATGTCTGACATGTAGACATCATGATTATTCACTATGTTGTGCTGAGTGTTCAGGTGTAATTGTTATTTTGTGCTGATTTTCAGTATGACGGTGAATCAGATTGAGTTGAAGTTGCCAGCTGCATCCCTGCCGCTGTGGAAGCAGCGGGGCAGTGTGGACTACATTGTCCTGCTGGACTGGTTCAGCTGTGTGTCTGACCTGAAGCTGGGCACCACCCTGCTGAGCCTGAAGGAGGCGCTCTTTAAGGTACTGCAACAATTTGCTAATATGCTGTATGCTGTGTCAAAATTTGTGTCCTACTCTACACCCATGCCGTTTACATTGTTCATTGTACTAATCTAAATCACTACTCTTACTGCTGTTTTACTATAGAACTAAATGTTTTTATTGTAGCACTGTAACACATTAATATAGCACTATAACACATTAATGTAGCGCTGAAATACTTTACTGTAGCACTGTAACACGTTACTATAGCACTGTAACACGTTACTATAGCACTGTAACACTGTACTACAGCACCGTAAGTCATTACTGTAGCACTGTAAAACTGTACTGTAGCAGTGTAACACATGTTTATCATGATTCTGTATGTGCAGTGGGACAGTATTACTATCCTGCGCAGTGAGCCGATGGTGCTGGAGGGCGGATATGAGAACTGGCTGCTCTTTTACCCGATGTTCACCACTAACGCTAAAGTTAAACCCCCGAGACAAAACACACTCAGCACACTACCACAATGTGAGTATCACACTCTCACACATGCATGTATACATACACTGTTTGGATTGCAGGGTGGAAAATACTTAAATAATATACTTACTGTATATTATATTTATGTTAATTTCCACTTTACTGTAGTATTAAAGAAATTTAATACCCACATTTACTCAATTACATTTCAAAGAGAAACAAACATACTTTTAACTCATTACATGTTTGTTTAGTCCTACAAAGTACTCAGTACAAATTTGAAAGTCCAGAAGATTTCTGACCTTTTTTTATTTTTTATATATATAATTAACTGTCCACAACTTAATTGTTAAACTGTTCATTTCTGTCTATCATTAACTTAAGTTACTTTATTGTAATTTTATATATATATATATATATATATATATATATATATATATATAGTTATAGTTAACAATTTTATTTCTTAAAATATTTTACTTTTTATTTTATATATGTGAATATGTGTTTAAGGGCCCTTACTTTGGGAAACTGAATTTTGAAATAGTTTGATGTAGTGTGTAAACATTGTTAAGGTTTGAAAACCAAACATTCGTGCAGGAATGTCTGTGACAACAGACATTAGAGCTCTATAGGAGATGCTGCAGCCAATCAGAGCATTCAATTAATTTCCAGTGTTAAAATCTTCTGATGTGATCGTGCTTTGTGCTGTGCAGTGAATTTCAGTTACCCGTGTTTGGAGGAGCCGCTGGCTGAGAACGTGACTGTGAAGGACGAAGTAGACGAGGCTGCGAGCGTGCAGGTTAATGGAAAAGTCTCAGAAGAGGTCTCGCACACCGAGCCTGCTGGACCCACTACACACACTCCCACTCCCACTCACACACCCACTCGCACACCCACCCAGACCCCCACTCACACCCCCTCAGCACAGCCTGCAGCCAGCGTGGTCACTCCATCCACTGCCCAACAGCCTGCGGCCACAGCGAAAACCATTCCACAGGTACTGTACACAGACAGGTAGCTTTAGAGCAGCTACTTGATTTACATGCTGCCTTCAGTCCAGAAAAGAGCAGAAAACTTTTAATTTAGCTATTTCGTTTAAGTTTTACCTTCATGTCTTCATGTCTGTTAGCCAAAATTCTCAGCAGTCAACTTCACCACACAAACTCAAACTTCATATCTCTAATGTTTACATATTCTGAGATGTACAGGTGAGACAGTAACGTCACATGATTTTAGACACAGAGAAGAACGCGGCTGAAGTGGTTTCATATTCGCCAGCTTCTTGTTTGAACTTTCTTGTTCCACCTTAAATGGTGCAGCTTTAATCTTTTGGCGCATCAGGTGTTCTAATAATTACTGCTGCACCATTTAAGGTGGAACGGGAAATTTGAACAAGGAGCTGACGTCAGCGTCATCAGAGAGCACAAGTGAGCGCTTCTTCGAGCCTCCAAACTTAAACTCCTTTTCCTCATTTTTACAGCTTGTTTTATGTAAGGTAAAAGAAGCCGTAATCTTTACTGATGCCAGAGCGCACACTCTGTAAAAATGACTGACATGGCATTCAGACAGGATAAAATCACTGAGAAATGCCAGGTTAATAATGACATTACCCTCCTTATATAAAACTAATCCCATCCCAATAGCGCTTTAGACATGTTCATAGTAATGTATTGCATTTGTTGTTGCTGCTGTGCTCGGTGTATCAATGGATATATAGCTCAATAGATCATTAATCTTCAGAGTTTTGTGAATGTGGTTTTAATTTCTGTCTTAAAAGTGCTTCAGAAAAAAAGTGCAAATTTGATAGCTTCTTAACTATTGATAGCAGTTACATGGCAATGCATTTAACTACCTAAACAGAAGAGACAGATGTATATTTTCTACTTTATGCTCGCTGAAAATTTGGAATTGTATTTTTTTTTTTTTAATTGGAGCAAATTTAGGCCTCTGTGTCTTCACAATGAAGCACATCAGATCTTTCAAACTGTGGTATGTAATACTTATATTACAGCACACTTTTAGCTGCTGAGTATTTTTCTTACACTATTAAAAGTTTCTGATATACATTTATTATTTTCTCATCTGATAAATGCTGCCATGCAATAATGTATATATCAGAAACTGACATTTTGGTGAACAAAATGCTGTAACTACGGTGTAAAAGTTTAAGCCTTTGTTTATTTGTTTGTTTGTGTATTGTCTCTCTTCCAGTTCGACCGCACCAAAAAGCCAGCAGTTATAGTCTCAGATGGCGGTAAAGCGAGTGAGGAGGGCGGGGCTAAGGACGTTCCTGTGTCCGCGGCGACGAATGGGCCGGTGATACCAGATCGGTCAGCCAAACCGTCTCTGGAAGCCACCAGTGCTCCGAAAGAGCAGGAGAATAGAGGGAGTGAAGGAGAGGTGGAGAGAAGAAGGAGAGAACAGCAGGAGGAGGAGACGAGGAGAGAGAGGGATAGAGAGAGGGAGGAGGCGGAGAAGCGACAGAGAGAAGAGAGGGAGCGGAGGAGAGGAGAGGAGGAGCAGAAACAGGAGCAGAGGAAGCTGGAGCGACAGAAGGCTGAGGAGGAGGAGGAGGAAGGCGAGGAGAGAGGGAGGAGAGGAGCGAAGGAGGCGCTGGACACTCAGATAAAGAGCATGTCTCTGGACTCTCCTCTGCCGAACTCCACTGTCTCTGAGATAAAGGTGAATGTTCTGGTCTTCCTGGGAAAAACAGGTCTGAACCTCAATGTTTAGAAAACAATCACAATTTAAATCACTGTCGCAATATTAGTCAGAAAAATCGCAATTAGATATTTTCCCCAAATCATTCAGCCTTAATGAGGAAGGAAAGTGCAGAACTGCGCCATCTGCTGGTTATGTTCAAAACATATTAAGACTCAAGTCTTTTACTATCATGTTTGGAGCATGTGGCCATAGTGTCAAATATACATTTGTATGTAAAAGTTTGTGTGCTAATGGTCAAATTCCATGTTTTGCTGATTCAACAAATGCATGGAATGTGACCGGGGTGCTCAAAAATATGTGGGAGTCGAAGGGCTCCCGAGTGGTGCAACCGTCTAAGCGTCGGCCCTATCATCAGGAGATCGCGAGTTCGATCCCTGGTGATGCTACAGCCGTCCGTAGCTGGGAGTCCAAGAGAGCACAATTGGCCTCGCTCTCTCTGGGTGGGTAGGTCAGCTTCTTCTTCTCCCCCATCACTTAATGCGATGCTAGTCAGCGCAGGCGTCTGTTAGCTGATGTAACAGATCTGGCGGTTGATGCTTTCCTCCGAGCGCATTCAGCTGTCCAATGATGTTGCGTGAGTGGCAGTTCGAAAAGATGTGGCGGCTGGCTTCACAGATCTCGGAGGAAGCCTGTGCTAGCCTTCACTCTCCTAGCGTTGATAGTATCATGTGATTGGGGGAGTCCTATGTAGCGGGTGGAATTGGAGATGACTAAATTGGGGAGATAACTGGGCAAAAATCCAAAAAAAAAACAACGTGGGAGTCACAGCACAATCTGTAACGTTCATCACCCATAATTCATTCAAACCCACGTTTTAAAAGGCAAACAGCAGGGGGCGCTCTGACCACTGTACTGTCCTCCAGGTGCACTATGCAGGTGTGCAGTTACTGACAGTAGCCGCTCCTGTGCACAGTTTATCAGCCCCCTCTACCCCATTCATCTGTTTGTGTGTTGCAGAGGGAGCCTCTGACTCGCGCTCGTAGTGAGGAGATGGGAAGGACAGTGCCTGGACTACCTGAGGGATGGATGAAGGTACATGCACTCATGTCGTCACCAGTTACATAAGTCTAATGCACCTACACACACTGTTCAGCATAGTTAGATCTTAGATCTGATGCACCTTGATGTTTCACCTGGACTCACCTGCACAGAGTGCTGTAACTGCAGCTAGTCTGAATGTGTTAGTCTTCATCTGTAAGTGTGTGTGTTTCAGTTTCTGGATATCGTCACCGGGACATACAGGTATTACCACTCTCCAACCAACCGGGTGCACCTGTATCCCCCGGAGGTGAGTGTGCCCCAGACTCCCCCAGCCACGCCCCCCATGCCCAAACAGAAGCCCCCCCGCCCCGGAGCCTCGGAGAAGGAGAAGGAGAAAGAGAAGGAGCGAGAGAGGGAGAGAGAGAGAGAGCAGTCCAAACTCAAACGTTCGTACTCTTCCCCCGACATTAGCCAGGACCTGAACACCATCAACACCCTGAACACCCTGAACACCGAAGGGCCCCGAAAACCCACCCCAACACCCACCATCAACAGAGACACCAAGTACGTACACACACTGCACACTCCACCTCAAATCAGGAGATTTCAGAAAAACTGAAAAAATTCTGCATTAATTCAGTCTGAGATGTAAGCAGAGTGATTCAGAGTAGTTTGGTGTGAAATGGTTCAGATTTCTTTACAATGGTGGTGATAGGAACCAGGGGTCGCCATGACTACAACACAAATACAGACATTTTGTTTACTATCCAAAACCTCCAGTGAATCTACACGTGTCATCGGAGTTTTATATGGAATGTTGATGATGGGAAAATAGTGGAAAATCTGAAATAATACGTTTTCTTTGGGGACTATTTTGCCTCACAACACCCTGCATGTATTCCTCCACCATGAATGGATTTTAAGTTCTCAAAACTATCATAAAACAATGTATCAGTCATCAGGCAGTGAATTCATAACCATTTCACGTAGTAACTTTCTGTGAGGGAGCTTTTAGAGGTGGACGTTTGGTTCCTATCACCACCACTGTGAACAATTCTGTCTCTGTAAGTTTCTCTAGAATGGAGTGTTTCACACCAACCCACTCTGAACAACTTATAATAATATAAATACCAATATCAGAAAGATCTGATGTGCCTCAAACCAAAGAATGATCTCTGATCATTTCATACATCAGTAGTTCAAAAGTTACGACTTCTTATATTTTGTACCCTTGGCCAGAGTGGTTATTTTAAGACATTAGAAATTAAGCAATAATTTAAGGTCACACACATTTTTTTAAAGCCTCTGTTTCTCAGAAACTAACAAGGGTGGAAGCCTAAAGTTTTATGTTGGGCCTAGTTACATAATTATCTGAAATTATGGTGAGTAAAAAGGCCTTCAGTGATTTCACATGGATGTGTAGCAAATCATTAGATTATTTTTTATTTGTTGTTATTGATCATGAACTTATGCTCTCTCTCCTCAGACCTCTGACTGCCACCACCTATGCTAAAGTGGAGGTTGCTCGTCCGTCTGCCGCTAAGATCCGGAACATGAACCCGGTTTTTGGGGGTTTGGGTCCATGCTTGACCGGCCTGCGTAACCTGGGCAACACCTGCTACATGAACTCCATCCTGCAGTGTCTGTGTAACAGTCCACTCATGGGCGAATACTTCAATCGAAACTTGTACCAGAATGACATTAACAGGTACGCTGGCCGTGTTTGTAGTTTTAGCTGTTAGAACATCCGCTGTGTGGATCGAAAATGTAGAATCTTCACTTTGTACACAACTCGTTTCAGCCGGAGTATGTGAGCAGTGTGGAGTGGGAGCTCCAAACACAAGCCAGGTGGTCCTTTATTCCACACTGACTGCCTCTGCGTGACATGAGTGCTACAGCTGACACGTCAATGCACTGATCGAAAAGTGATACAAATATTGCACTTTATGTCGCCCTTTTTTACTACACAAATTATAAAGAAGAGCGCATTAAAAGCATGTGCGTTTGTTTACCCCTGGTAGATTTCTGGCTTGTGATTGGGTTCCAGCCTAAAACGTACAAAAAAAAAACCCTGTTTAGCACAGAATGTTTAACAAAGTTTTTTGTTTGATAACAGCCAAAAATTATAAATTTATAAATATATATAAATTTATGAAAAGGAATGTGTGACACAGACTAGTTGACTTGACTGATCCGCAATGACACTTTAATCTTGATGTCGACTGATGTCAGGGTCTGTATCTCTGGTTTCCTGAAGGCTAACAACGCGACCCTGGGCTCGTTGGAAAGGGTGCATCATGCTGTACTGACCTGTACTTTGTTCAAACATTTCTCCACTGATCTACAGAGCGTCAAAGATCAGATACCGAACGTCATTTTTTTCCGAAGATTACAATTAAAAGTCCTGTGTGGTTGTAGAGGGAGCATATATAGTCCTGTACAGTTTGAAGTCGATTACTCTTATTTTCACTCTAAATTTCTCTGGCTCTCCAGACCCCTCACTGCAGGCGATTGTCTTGGCAAGGCCGCCTATGGTGGGCTGAAGTCAGATACAGATTTGTGAGATTTGGGGCTCTGTATCTCCAGTTCCCTGAAGGCCAGCAGTGCGATCCAGGGCTATTGGAATGAGCATGTTATGCTCTACTTACATGTTGAGTTTGGCTTTGTCACAGATTTTTTTTGTCAAGTTTTTTTTTTTCAGATTTTCCCCCAGTCACACAATATCACCACAGGACTCGGAGAAAGCCTTCACCCTCCTAGCGCTGATGATGTGAAGCCACTGCATCTTTTCAAACTGCCACTAACACAGTGGACAGCTGAATGTGCTTGGAGGAGAACGCACCAGTTCTGTAACGTCAGCTAACAGATGCCTGTCTGATGAGGCGAGACGAGGGGGCCATCCTGCCCACCCAGAGTGAGCAAGAATAACTGTGCCCTCTTGGACTCCCTGCCACGGACGGCTGTAGCATCACCGGAGATCGAACTTGCGGTCTTCTGATGATAGGGCCACCACTTAGACGGTCATCACGGATTTTTAAAGTCACTTGTAAATCATTCCCTTCTCATGTGGTTTTATTCATGACCTCATCAGCGATTAGTAAATGTTGACTCGACTTTCATCACACAACTGTCGACTTTAAATAGTCTGAAGTCGTGCAGCCCGTAGTGTTTAGTGTCTTCTCAATACATTCAAGGCAAATAATAAAATTAAAAAGTTTCTCTGATATTTGAGTGAGTTTAAGCGATGAATAGAAAACCCGGTGTGGAGCTGGAGCGGAGTGACTACAGAATGCTTTGAGCGAGGGGCGCAAATCTCTCCTGCTCAACTCGGCTCACATGCTCTGGTCAAACTACAAAATAACTATGCTGTGAGTTTGTGTGAATTTTGTTATTGCTGGTGAAAACTGCCTCTAAGGATTAATAAGTTGAATTGATGATTGTTCTGCCTAATGTACCAGTCATATTTGTGCTGTGTTTGTCGAACAGGGCAAATATTCTGGGCCATAAGGGTGAGGTGGCAGAGGAGTTTGGTGTGATAATGAAGGCTGTGTGGTCAGGGCAGTTTAAGTTCATCAGCCCCAGAGACTTTAAAAACACCATCGGCAAAATTAACGAGCAGTTCTCCGGCTACGAGCAGCAGGACTCTCAGGAGCTGCTCCTGTTCCTGATGGACGGCCTGCACGAGGATCTCAACAAGGTATCACTGGCTGCAGTACACACAGTGGGGGGGGGTCATATACTTAAAAATCTCAGATAAGGTGGAGTGGTGTAGAGTCAGATACAGAACCAGCCATTCTGTTCAACAGAAAAGGTGATAAAACCTTTAGTGTTAGTGCTACTTCTAGTGCCAGCTCTAGCACCAACTGTCATTATACTGTGCCGACTCAAATGACCAATGTAACTAAACTGTGCTGATCTATAGTGCAACAGTCTACCACTGTAACTCTAGTGCCAGCTCCAGCAGTGAAGTGCCAGCTCTAATACTAACTGCCACTGTAGTACCTAATGTCAACTGAAACTATAGCACCAGCTCTAGTACCAGCTGTAACCCTAATAGCAACTGTAATTAGTGCCAAATCTAGTGCAAACTGTGACTAGTTGCCAGCTCTAGCGTCAACTGTAACTGTAATGCCAACTATAGTGCCAACTATAACTATAGTGCCAACTGTTGCGCCAACTGTAACTACAATGCTAACTCTAGCACTGACTGTAATTATAGTGCCAAATGTAGTGACTGCTGTAATTGTAGCACCAACTGTAGCTGTATCCAACTGGTACCTTATAGTGCAAATTCTAGTGCCAACTGTTACTATACTGCCAACTGTAACTGTACTGCCAACTCTAGCACAATTGTAGCTGTAGGGCCAACTATAGTGCCAGCTGTAACTATAGTATCAACTCTAGTGCCAACTGTGACCCTAACACCAGCTCTAAATATAGTGCCAAATCTAGTGCCAAATGTAACTATAGTGCTAAATCTAGTGCCAATTGTAACTAGTTGTAGTGCCAACTGTAACTATAGTGCCAACTATATCACCAGCTGTAACTGTAGTGGCAACTATAACATCAACTGTAATTATATTGGCAACTGTAACGCAAACTGTAACTGTAGTGCCAACAGTAACGGCAACTGTAACTGTAGTGCAAACTGTAACTATAGTGCCAACTGTATTGCCAGCTGTAACTCTTGTGCCAACTCTAGTGCCAAATGTATCACCAACTGTAACTGTAGTGCCAGCTGTAATGCCAGCTGTGACGATAGTGCCATCTGTAACCATAACCATAAAAGCTGTACAGTGATGGACTGTAATTTGTATGTAAGTTTATTTTTCACTGTGTTTCTTTCACTGCTGCATGCTGAGCTGTTGGCAGATGCTGGCAGAGCTGAGAAAGTGCAGTTTTGAAATCTAGAGATCTTTCTAGATCTGTCTGTGTGTGTGTGTGGTGGGGGGGTTTCTAGATTGTTTTATTATGAAGAAACACAGGTTCTCATATACATCAGCAGTTTCTTTTCACTGTGAGGTTTTAAGGTACATCAGGTAAAATATTTTCTGATCATTATTGTAACTTACTGTTGTATAATGAATGCAGAAATAAAATCAAGACAGAAGATGTGCAGCCTAGTTTGGGCCAAAGATGGCAGCTAAGATAACACACTCACATTACTCACATTAACCCTTTTTAGATGGTATCAGTTTTACAGCGACTCTTTCAGGAAAGAGTCCTGCATAGAGCTGCTGCCGCTGTTTTACGTTCCTAACAATGAACCGTAACACTGCTTAGACTACAGCTCAAATTCACAATCAGTGACGTATCTAGAACTTCCAGATTAATGTTTTATTTTCATTACCCCATTGTACATCAAGTTGTTGGTTCCTCTGTTACCTTCTAATTATGTTGGTAGTCAATCTAACTTGTAAGGCCTTCTGTCCAGCTCCTAAAGTCCTGACCAGTGGGAGAGCTCACTGGGCTGTATCTACATAGATACCACAGAGAGAACAATCCTGATTGGATAATTATCTGTTGGGCATTTAAAGATTTTAAGCTTTTTCTTTGCCACCAGAACTGAACAGTGAAATATGAGTTTTATTATTAAATTAAATAAAAAATAGTCATGTATTTTTTTAAATCCCAGAAATATATACACCTTTTCTGTGGATTCCCCTGTGGAACAGACAATTGTTAAATAGGGCTGCAACAAATGACTAATTTGATAGTCAAATAATCTATTGATTACTGAAACCAATAATTGGTTATTCAGATTCTGAATCACTACATTACCAAGTAACTTTTATGTAGCTATAAGCTTTTAAATTTAGCTTGAAGGTGTTTTATGCATTTGCTAACAATGAAGACAATATAGATGAATGACATTCAAGAATTCACTGTTTTAATGAACTTTCCTGCTAATACACAAGATTAAAGAATAAAAATCCAATATATTTTTCCTGTCAAAATTTATAACCAAGGATGTGCAAAGTAGCAGCATAAAATATAACAAAACTAAATCAGTTTTTCTTCAATCAAGTAAATAGAAAAATCAATCTAAATTTAAATTTTAAATTTAAACAGTGCAGACTGTTCTACAGTCACAGGTCTTTTTTTGATACGGAGGAAAGTCAGCATCTCTCCGTGCTCCTGTGAGAGTCTCGCACTCCTCTGAGAGCAGATATTCCCAGATGCAGAGAAGATGCGCTCTGTAGGAGCGGATGGGAAAGCCACGAACGTTTACTATAAACTTGTTCTCTATGAACAGTTAAATTTGAACGACTTTCTAAACACTTCATTTCAATGGTAACCCTTTGTCCAGCTGCCCTGTATGTTCACAGAGAACTACCTCCTTAAACTGATTGCGAGTGGTGCTAAACGTTCGCGGAGAACACAAAATTGTTGGGAAACGCTCTCCGATGTTTGCCGAATTTAAACGCACCGGTGGCCTCGACGTTAAGACGACGATGCAATGTTTAAAACTGAAAACGTTATTTGGTATGTAAACAGGGTTGCTGTGAATAATAGTTCCTTGACTCTCTGTTCCAACTCCATTAACGATTACAGAGAACATGCATTCCGAAGCTGAAGATGTTGCAGCTCATAACATGAAGTAGAACAGTATTTAACATTAACATTAGTTAACCAGCTCGCTAGCACAGCTATTGCCGCGTCCCAAACCACACACTTCTGTACTTCACATACTACACTAATGAGTGCACTTCTAACGGTATATGTGCTATTTTTACACACTATTTAGTGAGCTAGTATGCAGTTTGGGACGCGGCGTATCTTACCGAAATGAATCTTCTTCATCCAGTGAGCCGACGAGTTTTTTCTTCAGATACTCCAACATGGAGGATGTGCTCCCGTGCCAGCTAAGGTCGGTTTTACAAATACAGTTTAGCTCCCACACTTTTGAGGATTTTGTTTTTGAGGCAGCCATCGCGCTGTTGTTAACTCTCCGGTGAGCGGTAATGTCAAAACGTTCCTAGTGAGCGCGAGAAAGACGCGTAATGACGTCACCAACGAATCAACTACTAAATTAGTTGCCGACTAATTTGGTCGTCGATTTTAGTTGACTAACTCGAATAATCGTTGCACCCCTATTGATAAATAAAAAAATACCCATTAGGCTTTAATTTAGTTATTAAGTCAGATAAATAGTATGTTACTGTGTTAGAGGTGGGCAAAAATTATAGTTTTGCGATACTTTAAGAAATTTTCACAATACACTTACTGTTACTATATGACCAGTACGAAGTTGGTCCATTTTCTACAAGCACTAACTATATGCACAATATTGTATTGTGAAAGAATTTATCATGATAACAAAACATATGGTCATATTGGCCAGCCCTGTATTACATTGATAGTAAAGCAATGTATATTTGTTTAAGGGGATGGACACTATATATATTTTTCTTTTTGTTATGGTTATCTGTTTCTGGCAGTGAAAATGGTACATGCTCAGGTCATGTGACCTTAAGCAGTAGAGCATCTCCTGATGTACCTTTAAAATCAGAGCACGTTTATTGATTAGCTCTGAAACTGTCACCATGCGACTACATTTATTATGAATTTCTTCTTTTCTTTTTTTTTGTTGTGGTTGTCATTGTGACGACGTGTGTAGAGAGTAAGTACTCATGAGCCGTGTGTGTGTGTTCTGTGAGAGTGCGTGTGTGATTCTGTGCATGGATTTTGACATGAATGTGTCTATGAATTATCTCATTGTGACAGTTCTGTCAATCATCCAAACAGCTCTGCCTATTTTGCGCGTAAGCCCCACCCATCCTGTCTCGTCATGCTGATGAACAGCGTTTTCTCTGCTGTGTGTTCAAGGCCTGGGCGATAGCTGAAAACAATTAGGAGCATGTTTTCTTGTTACCCACATGAACCCGATGAGCCTGGTACCAGACCCGAAGAGAAAATGTTTAAATCTGCAGGAGAAGTTATGCTGTGGGCACATCTCCGTTAAGAACAACGTACTTGAAATTGTAGTCCAAGAAATAGTCAGTTAAGGACGAGCCAGAGTCAAGGTGCAAGTCAGTTAAGGATCAGTTCAAGTAAAGACACGAGTCAGTTAAGGATCAGTTCAAGTCGAGACGCGAGTCAGTTAAGGATCAGTTGGAGTCGAGACACGAGTCAGTTAAGGATCAGTTCAAATCAATATGCCAGTCAGTTAAGGATCAGTTGGAGTCGAGACACGAGTCAGTTAAGGATCAGTTGGAGTTGAGTAGCAAGTCTGAGTAAAGTCCGTTACGGGCAAGTCTGAGTTGAGTCGCGAGTCAGTTAGGATCAGTTCAACACATGAGTCAGTTAAGGGCGAGTCTGAGTAAAGACATGAGTCTGAATCAAGTTACTAGTCAGTTAAGGATAAGTAAGTCAAGTTGCAAGTCAGTTAGGGTCAATTTGAGTCGAGATGAGAGTCAGTTAAGGGTGAGTCTGAGTCGAGTCACAAGTCAGTTAAGAGTGAGTCTGAGTCGAGTCACAAGTTAGTTGAGGTGAGTCTGAATCAAGATGCAAGTCAGTTAGGCGTCTGTAATGAGTTGTGAGTCCGTCAGCATGCAGCTGGAGTGAGACTTGAATCTGAGTCACTGAGTCAAAGCCCCATCTCTGCTCACCCATTTCATCATCCTGTCGCCCAGGCCGTGTGTGTGTGTGTGTGTGAGTGAGTGAGAGAAGCTTGGAGGTCCCTCTGAGTGTGTAAACATAAGCAAGCCATAAGCATGCTGTCTGAGAGTGTGTGAGTGTGAGTGTGAGTGTGTGTGTGTGTGTGTGTGTGTGTTAAAGGAATACTTTGGCAAAAAATCAAAGGTCCACAGTACCCCTCTCCAAGCTCCGCCCACACATGTGTTCTTTTATAGCTACTGTTATGAGGTTGGACAAGATTTACAAAACACCAGAACAAACCTATTAATGAGAAACTGTAGAACAGACCCAGTTTATATCACAATACCTACATTTAGAGTCAGTTATTCATTCAACCTAATGAGAAACTGCAGAACAGACTCAGTTTATATCACAATACCTACATTTAGAGTCAGTTATTCATTCAACCTAATGAGAAACTGCAGAACAGACTCAGTTTATATCACAATACCTACATTTAGAGCCAGTTATTCATTCATTCTTTTACAAAAGATCATGAAATGTCTGAAAGTGCCATTAGAGGTATTAATTCATAAGATGATAAAACATTGAGTGTGTATACATGCACTCAATAAACCGATCATAATCGGATTTCTGCAGTTATCCGATTGTTCAAATGGTCATGGTCACCGTACTCCAATGAAGTTTGAGTTTTACATTATGTTTACGTCACGTCGTCTTCTGTGAGTTTATTGGCTGGATGCAAAGCAGAAATCCAATTATTGCCTGACTCATGTAGACCTGGAGTTTTCCCGTTATTTGATTATTTAGTGCATGTAAACGCAATCAGTGTTGAAAAGATTGTATCAGTGGTCCTCATTCTCTGATATCTTCGTAAGTTTGTTCTTAAATGTGTTCTTGAGAAAGATCCTAAGAAAAAAGTCTAAGTCAGATTCGTGATGTGCTCTTAAAGCACAGAACTGTTCTCACCTTTGTGCTCTTGAGTGTGTGTAGATTCTGTTCATATCTAAGAACAAATCCCAAATAAGAGAACATTGGTGAATGTCAGAGTCATCATCAAAAGTGCCTAAGTGGGTTTTACGAAGACATTTCTACTTAAGAACAGTTGGAAAATGAGGCCTATTGTTCAAAACGGTTCCAGAAACAAAAATAACCAGCCGACTGATCCTGAAGTCAGAAACCGACCACTGATGAAGGTCTAAAGATTGGCAGAACTAATAAAAAACACATTGAAAAGATCGTTAGTGGAGATAGACAGGAAGATTGAGAAGAGAGTGACTGCAACATATAATTTTCAGTCATTCTGTATGAATAAAATGGACATATTGTGTTTTTCCTTTGTTGATGTCTTGAAAGGATATTAAAAAGCATTAAAAGTTTGATTTTAAAAGTTTAAAAGTGTTCTACAGTTTTTCATTAGGTTGAATGAATAACTGACTCTAAATGTAGGTATTGTGATATAAACTGAATCTGTTCCACAGTTTCTGGTCAGGTTGAATGGCGTGTCCAGTCTCACAACAGTAGATATAAAGAACGCATTTGTGGGTGGAGCCTGAATAGGTAAATACCCCCCTCCAACTTGCCTCAAATGTAGTCACTCACCTAAGACATTTGGCGTCTTAAGTTTGCTTCTTTAGCCTTAGCACTGGAGTTGTGATGCTAACGTGGCTAACAAGTAATAGAAACTTATATCCTGCCAGTTAGCAAGGCGCTAAGAAATTGGATATCTACTAAAATGGAAAAAAGTAAATACAAAACTCTGACTTCAACATGGCTGCTAACGTACTTTAGTCCATTTTTATAGATAACTGTGAGTCATACAGTGACAGAAACCACATGATCACATCCGGTGTCAACCAGAGGAGAATGGGTTCCCCTTTTGAGTCTTGGTTCCTCTAAAGGTTTCTTCCTCTTGCTCTTAGGAAGTTTTTCCTTGCCGCTGTCGCCACTGGCGATGGTCATGGGGGCTTGGACCCGGATTTTTCTGTAAAGCTCCTTTGTGACAACACCTGTGGTAAAAAGCGCTATATAAATAAACTTTGACTTGACTTGATCTATTAGAGATGCTGAACACCTCTGAGTTGAACATGTGATGATTTAGACATGATGCTAAGTGATGGGCTATAAGTTTCCCTTATTTGTTAGCTACATTAGCCTCGTAGCTCCAGTGCTAAAACTAAAGAGGCAAACTTCAGACACCAAATGTGCCTCAGCTGATTGACTACATTTGAAGTGAAACTGGAGGAATTTTTTGCCAAACTATCGCTTTAATGTTGCGGTGCAGAAAGAAAGCTGCGCTGAGGCTCAGAGTAAATAGAAACTGTGTAATTAAAAAGCTGCTGTTTTATATACACTTAGACCTCTCTCTCCCTCTCCCTCTCTCTCTCTCTCTCTCTCTCTCTCTCTCTCTTTCTCTCTCTCTCTCTATTTCTCTTTCTCTTTCTCTCTCTTTTTCTCTCTCTCTCTCTCTCTCTCTCGGCTCAGGCGGATAACCGTAAGCGCTGTAAGGAGGAGGTGATCGATCACCTGGATGACGTTAGCGCAGCTGAACTGGCGTGGAGTAAACACAAGCTGCTGAACGAGTCCATCATCGTGGCCCTGTTTCAGGGTCAGTTCAAGTCCAGCCTCCAGTGCCTCAGCTGCCACCGCAAAAGCCGCACGTTTGAAACCTTCATGTACCTGTCCCTGCCTCTGGCTTCCAGCAACAAGTGCTCACTGCAGGTACACGCTCACTGTTTTCTGTTCCTGACGTAAAAACGATCAAACAAAATTAAAGTTTGACAAACTGTAAGTTGTAAATACTGTGAGAGCGCCGCCACTCCCCAGTTTCAGTCTCCATTTCCCAAACGTTTTAGCTGAGAGCGCTAACGTTATTCCTCCTAATAAACAGACACACATTCAGCTCTGTCTCCTCATTATTCACCACCATCACTGTAATATTTTATTATCAATATTAACGTATGAAGGTAATAAGGGGATGGTGGAGATCGTGGTAGAAAAGAAAAAGGTCTCATAAGTGAAAGCAGCGTTTTACAGTATGCAGCATCATTATGCTAGTAATGAACTATGCTGCCTGACACAGTTGCCTAAAAAACGACAGAAACTGACGCTTAAACAGAAGTTAGGACACTGTTGGGGTTTATCCTAAAGTTAGGACAGTATTTAGGAGATTTAGTCTAGTTAGGACGTTTGTGTAATATTGTTTTCTTATCTGGAGTTAGTGATAAGATTAACTAAAGCTAAAGCCTGATTAGACTGATAAATCAATGTGATCGGTTATTAATTTCACTGTTACTGAGCTCTGCTAAAGCCTGAGTAGACTGATAAATCAGTGTGATCAGTTGTTAATCTCAGTGTTACTAAGCTCTTTTGAGGAATGCTCAGACTAATAATCTCCTCAGTACTGAACATGTTTGTGAGTGTTAATTGTAGCATCAGTGTTGTACTAGTCATATGGGAGCAGCAGTGGACTGAAGCAGGCATTAAGAAAAAGTTGAGAATTTTAAACTTTATTTAAAATTTAATAAGCAAATTTTTCATGAAGCATATGAACAGAATAGTTACAGAAAACTGCCAACCAGTAACAGAGAGAAACACTGTGATAAAAGAGATTTTCCCATGTCGCTTATCTGTATTCTAAAGACCTAACGTTTTATGTATTGTAATGGAATACATTAGTGAATACATTTAGGACAGTGTACTCAGTAATCAGCCATCACTACTTTCTCAAATCCTGTGTGTGTGTGTGTGTGTGTGTGTGTGTGTGTGTGTGTGTGTGTGTGTGTGTGTTCAGGACTGTCTGAAGCTGTTCTCTAAGGAGGAGAAACTGACGGACAATAATAAGGTCTACTGTCCACACTGCAAAGGCCATCGCGAATTCACCAAGAAGCTGGAAATCTGGAAGGTTCCACCCATCCTGCTCGTACACTTAAAGCGGTGAGTGCTGCCTCATATCCGTGTTCATAAAGCAGCGGGTCAGCTAAAAATCAAATTTACATAGTTTTCCCCTTTCACCAGATGTAGTTGATAAGCCAAGACATGCTTGGTGCTTTTTTGATGTAGCACTCGATGCTAAAGTTGCTAACAAACAACTCATAGTGCTGTAAAGACAAACCCAGATCAGATCAAAAATTTGTCATGATTTTTTTTTAATAGATTAATATTAAGTCAGCATCACAAAGCCAACTTACTGGTTTTATTATTTCGCCCCTTTTTGTGCCATTTTGATGGTTTGCATTCAGAAATGTTAAGAAAATTAAAATCTAATATATATGTAATATATACACAAATTAGCAGCCACCTGGGATACCATATAAACAGCTTAGCAACATCTTAGCACCCACCTGGGATACCATAGGAATGCCCTAGCAACACCTTAGAAACCACTTGGGATACAGTAGGAATACCCTAGCAACATCTTATCAACCACCTGGGATACAGTATGAACACCCTAGCAACACCTTAGCAACCACTTGGGATACAGTAGGAACACCCTGGCAACATTTTAGCAACCACCTGGGATACAATAGGAATGCCGGAGCAACACTTTAGCCACCACCTGAGATACAAAAGGAATTCCGGAGCAACACCTTAGCAACCACGTGGAATGACAAACATGAGATTTCATACTAACGTTTTTGTAAAGCGACTTAAAGTTTGTTCGTGAACTTTCTCCTTCTAGTTTGAATTACAGACTCTGACCCTTAAAATTGTTTTTATTGCGGTCCATTTTACTAAAAATTGGGATGCATTAGCAGAAACACTCAGCTGTGAGGAACAGATGCAGTGTCGGTGTTGGTGCTACAGAAGAGTTCATATTTTTATAACAGATGAGCATCTTTTCTGATGTATGTCTGTGATTTGTTTGTTTATTTGTTCTGTGTGTATTTGTGTAGGTTCTGGTATGAAGGACGCTGGAAACAGAAGCTCCAGACCTCAGTGGATTTTCCTCTAGAGAACCTGGACCTGTCTCAGTACGTCATCGGCCCCAAAAACAACCTGAAGAGATACAACCTGTACGCCGTCTCTGTGAGTGCCGCTCTCCTCTATCTCTCAACTATTATTTCTTTAATTGACTATTCTCCGTTCTTCGGTTCCTCTGTCTTTACTGTCCCCATCATTCAAAGTTCTGCCTGTGATGTCTTCTTTTGGGAGTAGGCAATTAACAATAAAAGATATTAAATTGTGTTTATCACATTATTGTGATAAAATGTGTTACAATATGCTTGTAAACTGTTCTGTAATTATTAGTGATGCACCGGTCCGATACTGACCTTAATAAACAAATCGGATATTGGCCAGGCGTGTCCAACACACATTGAATACAGTCCCTTAGCCGCAGCCACTCTTCACTTCACTTTTCACATTTTATTCCAAGACATGATAAACATCAAAAACACTTTTTGTTTTTATTGACAGAGCAGAAATTTCATATATGTAATAATTATGAATGATCACATTACAGGCAACCTTCTGTTTAAAGACATAAATTAGAAAACCATGAAATCTGCCACAGTTGTTTCTTTATGCTGCAGTGCATCAAAGTAAAAGCCCTACGCAGGAACTTTCCCTGCACTATTTTAGCTTCATGGAGGGCTGTCCCAAATACCATTTTGGAGCTTCAGCAGTAATCAACAACAAATATTGAACACTTTGCATCGTGTTCAGAAAATCTGCGTTCGACGCCCGTGTTGAAAGCACATCCGCGGCTTCATCCGCTGTAAAATCCGAATCCCCAGGCTGCTTTCCTCGCTCCATGTACCAGGCCCACTAGCTTCTGTTAGCAGCAGGCTAAGGGGTAACAGCACAATGCATGCAGCACAAACTGAGATGGTTTATATTTTCTCATTTTAACTGTGAGTTTTTAAAGAGAAGAAATGTATATGTTGGGCTGTTTTTAGTTTCATTCCTACAAGGACTCTTACGTTGAAGAGCCTGAATGTCAGGGGACTGGTGTGTTTTCCAGAGTAGAGCAGTGCTTTTAGCTATTAGCATTGGAGAGGCTGTGCTTTTTCTCACCATGTTGGGAGCTGTTTTCAGCAGATTAAAAATAAAGAGTGAAACCTCAAGTTGTCTAAATTTCTCCCTAAAACCCCAAACAATACAGTGTTTTGCAGTTTGTCTTTATTGAGCCAATAAAATATACATCTGAATCCCAAAATCAAAAACTGAACACCACCTACCCAACAAACGAATACTTGAATAGTTGAATATTCGGGTCCAGCCCTACTTTCGAGAGCGAAAAGAATATTTCATCTGCTTGCATTATAATCAGTTTCATCTAAGTTATAGTTAAAGTTGAATAATGTGGTTAAAACTGAACTGAATAATAAGGGCGCCTCATTTTAAAAATCCTCAATTTAAACGTCAGCTAACAAGACAGAAAACTGGGATCAGTGCATCTCTAGTAATTATTTGAGCATAAACTTAAAATCAGTATTGATAATTCCCTTGCTGACCAAGTCTCCTAGTGTCTATTTATAGTAACTTTGTGTCAGGAAATAACTATAAACAGATTGTTACACTTTATTATTTCATTGTTTTCCCTCTTTTTCTCTCTCTCTCTCTCTCTCTGTCTCTGTAGAATCACTATGGTGGTCTTGATGGTGGTCACTACACGGCGTACTGTAAGAACCCAACAAGGCAGCACTGGTTCAAGTTTGATGACCACGAGGTGTCAGAGATCTCCACCTCCTCCGTCAAATCCTCTGCTGCGTACATCTTCTTCTACTCCTCCCTCTGAGAGCGTCGCCGTGGCGACCAGGTGTGGTTCACCTACGTTTGCGGAGCTGCTGTGGGCGGAGCTTAAAGCTTAAAGCCCCTCAGTAATGATGAGGAGCTGACGATGAGTTTCGCCGAGAACGAAGATGCAAAAGCTCACACCCATCTATAATCTCTACTATCTCTCTATCCTCTCTGTCTCTCTCTCGCTCTCTCTCAGTTAAACTGAAGTTAAACTGTTAATCTGTTTTTATTCCTGACAGCAGGAGGGGGCGGAGCTCTCTCACTGCTTCTGTCTTTGGACACTAACAGCAGGTGGGACGCAGCCGTGTGTGTGGTCAGGTCTGGTCCAGTATGGATCTGGAACCTTTAGACCACTTAAATTCAGATTCTGTTTGTGACAGTGTGACCTCCACAGCCAGACCAAATATATCTAGACCCATCTGTTCTGGAGTTCTGATTTGGTATTTTTAGAGATCAAATTCAGTTCTGGAGTTCTGATTGTTTTGTTTTTTTTTAAGAGATCTGATTAGGTTGCGGAGCTCTGATTGGATTTTAGACCTCTTACTAGATCTCTGGTTGGATTTCTAGTGTTCTGGTTGGAGTTGTGGAGCTTTAGTTGGGTTTCTAAATATCTGACTGGATTTTAGAGCTCTGGTCTGGTTTCTGGATCTCTGGTGTTCTGGTTGGAGTTGTGGAGCTTTAGTTGGGTTTCTAAATATCTGACTGGATTTTAGAGCTCTGGTCAGGTTTCTGGAGCTCTGACTGGATTTTAGAGCTCTGGTCTGGTTTCTGGATCTCTGGTGTTCTGGTTGGAGTTGTGGAGCTTTAGTTGGGTTTCTAAATATCTGACTGGATTTTAGAGCTCTGGTCTGGTTTCTGGAGCTCTGACTGGATTTTAGAGCTCTGGTCAGGTTTCTGGAACTCTGACTGGATTTTAGAGCTCTGGTCAGGTTTCTGGAGGTGTAGTTGGGTTTCTAGAAACATGATTGGATTTTTGAAATCTGACTGGGGTCCCTGATATCTAGGTAGGTTCAGGAGGTTCATGGATCAGGCCTGGTTTGCTTTGGTCTGGCTGTGTGAGACGGGCTGAAAGCCTTTATGTCGTTTCCGACCTGCCGCGCTTCACCTTCCACTAAAAATCACAGTAGGGGGATAAAAACATCTACATGCAGCTCTTGCACACTGAAAATGTACATATAGCTTATGGAGACGTTTTTATTTATTTTTAAAGTGACCAAATCTTTCCTGAGAGATGCAGAGTGTCTCTGTGGGTTACAGCAGAAACCCGGAGAGTGGAGCGTCCCAAGTCCGGACTGGACCGGAAGAAAGAAGCCTGTTTAATTCAGATTAATCCATTATCGTTTTCATGTATTCTGAGCCATTAATCTCATTTTATTCTTTCGATTGACATGGCGAGTGTTTGGCGCTGTGTTATTTGAGCATATAGTTCGATATCGCATTGTATTACCAAATTAAGCTGTCCTCTGATGTGCGATTCAAACCGCAGTCAGGCTCATACTGCTTGATGTTCTATCCTAATGCAGTTCTAACTCACGTACACCACAATTACAGTTAAACTTGCAGTAAAAGTCCAACTATAACATGTTAACATGCTACCGCAGCTATGCAAACCTCCTGGCCACAGTGATTCCTGGCCTTTCAGCGTAGCTGGACAGTTTATACTTAAAACTAGAGATTCGCTTAGCGGGGGTGAGTAGTGTAGGTCCTTACCGACCCCCAGTATCATCTTACAATGTACACAAGTTTCAGTTTTCCCCAGATGTAGACGTGTTTGGTGTCTGCAGTTTGCTTCTTTAGTTTTAGCGCTGGAGCTACGAGGCTAATGGAGCTAACAGGTAATAGAAGCTTAGAATTAGCATTGTGCTAACTACATTCTCTTACTTGTCAGCTACATTAGCTTCATAGCTCCAGTTAGCTAGTTTATTTAAGGTTACTTAACTCATAATGTGTGGTAATTTAGGCATGCAGTTAGCACCATGCTAATTGGCGATACTACTAAGCTTTTATTGCTTGTTAGCTACATTAGTCTTATAGCTCCAGTGCTAAAACTAAAGAAGCAAACTTTAGACACCAAACATGCCTTATATGAGCAAATACATCGATTATTAGGGTGATGGGGGTATTTTTTTTCCAATCATCGCTTTTCTAACACAAACTGCCTTTCATTGACAGCTCTGTGGGTTTACTAACCTCAGTAAACACCCCCCCATTGCAGCATGACGCCCAGCATGAGCTGAGAGAAACTGATTCTGTTTGAGACATAATTCAATATTGTTTTCTCCACTGTCATGGGCTGTATACTCACACGATTAAATATGTAGTTACCCAGCTGTGAAAAATAAAGCAAATTAAGCAGTGATTTTTGTGCCATCTCAGTTTGTTCAGTGCTGTGGGTGCATTTTACTGTTTTTATTCACAGGCCAATAGAAAATCCCATTTAAGACGTGTCACTGTGTGTGTATGTGTACATCATGAAATTACTCGGTACATGGACTGTGTGTTTGAGATAATGTCTACTACATGTAAGGTTATTAAAATGATAAATTACAGACAGAAACCTGTATATTTACATTATTAATCATTGCAGTAGTCACAGGCGTAGCTCCCTTTAAAAATCCACTGAGTGTAGATCTACACTTACAGCCCAGATGTCATAATCCAGTACCACACACACACACACACACACACACACACACACACACACAGGTAAACTGTATAGTGTTTATTGAGTGAGCAGTGAGAATGTATTGCTGGAGATTCGTCTCAGAAGATCATCACACACACTCCTGCAGGTTTCAGAGCATGTGATCATGAAGAGAGACCCCCAACACCCGCCCTACACACACACTCTCATGTGAAACTACACCACTGATATATGGAGCAGCTGGATAAATTTATTTCTGTGATTAATCTTCACTTGTTTCCATGACTACACCATGCCCATTATCGTGACTACACTATACCCTTTTTCAGGGTAATACTACACCCATGATCGTGACTACACTACACTCTTTCCATGGTAATACTACACCCATCATCATGGCTACACTGCACCCATTATCGTGACTACACCACACCCTTTTTCATGGTAATATTACACCCATTATCATGACTACACCACACCCTTTTTCATGGTAATACTACCACCATTATCATTGCTACACTACACCCTTTTCCATGATAATACTATACCCATTATTGTGGCTACACTACACCCTTTTCCATGGTTAAACTATACCCATTGGTTACACAACACCCTTTCCATGATAATAGTACACCCATGATCATGGCTACACTACGCCATTTTTCATGGCAATACTACACCTATTTCCATGGTAATAACTACACCCATTGTAATGGCTACACTACAACCATTTCCGTGGTAATACTACACCCATTATAATGGTTACACTACACCCATTTCCATGGTAATAACTACACCCATTATCATGGTTACACCCCTGTGTGCTCGTTTTGGAGCAAAGTTTGCTTATTTATATTTTCTAAATCTGCAGTAGCTGCACTGTTTAAGTGAACACCATTGCTGTTGGCTGCTTTAGAGAAACATATTTACTGTTCAGATTTCTGCAGCTCACAGCTGATCTTTGAATTTTTCAGTGTTCACATGAACCAGGAACACACACACACACAGGTAGACTGTATCAGTGTTTATTGAGTGAGCTGTGAGAATGTGTTGCTGGAGAATCGTCTCAGAAGATCATCACACACACTCCTGCAGGTTTCAGAGCATGTGATCATGAAGAGAGACCCCCAACACCCACACACACACACACTCCTAGAGATATTCTCTACTGCACAACACACAAAGAAGTGTTCTTCTTCTTCGTCTTCTTCTCTACTGTCTCCACCTGGCCTAACGTCTCCAGACCCTCCACAGTTCCAGCTCCACTCATTTCTGCCACCATGTGGACCACCTACGCAACACAACCACACACTCACTAATAACATACTGTATGTGTTTGAACTGAAAGAGGAATGTAAAGAGTGCAATTTCATCACATATTATCTTCACCATATTGACACAAAACTATAAATAATGTTTAGAAACATTTGTTTTTTAGATATTTTTTGACTGTTAATGACGCCTTTAGAGGGCAGCGGTGAGTGACGTTTATTTGATGTTCGTTAATGACTCCTTTAGAGGACGGGGATGAGTGATGTTTGTTTATTTGATGTTTGTTAATGATGCCTTTAGAGGGCGGCGGTGAGCGATGTTTGTTTATTTGATGTTCGTTAATGACTCCTTTGGAGGGCGGTGGTGAGTGATGTTTGTTTATTTGATGTTCATTAATGACTCCTTTAGAGGGCGGCAGTGAGCGAAGTTTGTTTATTTGATGTTTAGAGGGCAGCAACAAGTGACATTTATTTGATGTTCATTAATGGCTCGTTTAGAGGGCGGCGGTGAGTGACTTTTGTTGATTTGATGTTTCTTAATAACACCTTTAGAGGGCGGCGGTGAGCGATGTTTATTTGATGTTTGTTAATGATGCCTTTAGAGGGCGGCGGTGAGCAACGTTTGTTTATTTGATTTTTGTTAATAACACCTTTAGAGGGCGGCAGTGAGTGATGTTTGTTTATTTGATGTTCGTTAATGATGCCTTTAGAGGGCGGCGATGAGCGACGTTTGTTTATTTGATGTTTGTTAATAACACCTTTAGAGGGTGGTGCTGAGCGATGTTTGTTTATTTGATGTTTGTTAATAACACCTTTAGAGGGCAGTGGTGAGTGACGTTTGTTTATATGATGTTTGTTAATAACACCTTTAGAGGGCGGCGGTGAGTGACGTTTGTTTATTTAATGTTCGTTAATGACGCCTTTAGAGGGCGGCGATGAGCGATGTTTGTTTATTTGATGTTTGTTGGTTTGAATGCAGCTTTGTGTTTGTTGTGTGAGCAGTGATGTGTGTGTTACCTCTGAGGTTGAGGGGAAGGTGTTATCCTGCAGTTTGGAGAACATCAGCTTTCCATTCAACATCACTTCAAAACTCCCTGTAAATACAAAAACAAGTCCATAAAATAAAGATCGAAGATTTAATAGTGAATGTGAAGTAGTGAAGTAAAGTGGCCAGTGAGTGGAAGCACAAGGTGGGTGTTTCTAATAAAGTGGCCAGTTACTGGAAGCACAAGACGGTGTTTCTAATAAAGTGGCCAGTTAATGAGGAAGAGATAGAGTGAAATATAATCTCACCTGTTCGCCCCACTAAGGATGAAACTTTGGCATCCGGTACCACCTTCTTTATCTCAAAGGCCAGGTCCCGAAACCGAGAATCATAACCTCACCCTCTGCTGCTCACACACACACACACACACACACACACACACACATTTATTAAAGTGATAGCAAGTGATAGCCTAAAAATTTCCCGTTTACCCCGTTACCCCAAATGAATTTTTGTAGTTTAAATCAGGTTGATTACTGCTTTTGGGGTTATTTAATTGATTTTACATTTCACTGCTGTTGGACAAAAACCTTGTATCTCCAAAATTAACTTTACAGGAGGAGGAAAAAACATACTTTACTTTTAATGTAAGTCAATGGAACCAGAATTTTTTACAAGTCATTTTGGGTCATTTCTTTTGATCCATTCATCATGAAATTTACATATAATGTAAAGGGGTATTTTCAAATTATGTCAAAAACTGAAAAATATGATATGAGGTTTTCTTCCGACAGCAGCATTTTCCCATAACAAACGTTTTAATAAATGTTCTAGGCTACTATTTTTTCACTGCCTCGTTGCTTTAAGCCCATAGTCAGCATCTCAGAGCAAAAAAACAAACTACACCAGTCTGTCTGAGGTAGACGTGAATGCTAAATTTAATTAGGAACTCATCCAGGAAATACGCTATGCAAAAAAACATGCAAAATTCTGAAATTTCAGATCATATCAGTCAAATCTAGCAGCGCTGCTTTGTTTACAGACTTGTTGGAAACACATCACTACATTATTATATTACTGGCGTTTAAGGTGGAGCTGAAAATTCAGGTTTAGGTTCTGTGCTGTCAGGTTCAAGCTTGACAACCTTGCCCATTTTCAAAAAGGTAGATAGATAGAAAACTTAAAAGATGGTTCTTCAAGGGCTCTTGTATATATATATATATATATATATATATATATATATATATATATATATATATATATATATATATACATATATATATACACACACACACACAAGAGCCCTTGAAGAACCATCTTTTAAGTTTTCTATCTATCTACCACTGATACTGAACAACAGACTCAGACATCAGGCAGTGCATTCATAACCATTTCATGTTATAACTTTCTGTGAAGATTTTAGATGTGGATGTCTGGTTCCTATCGCCACCACTATGAACAATTCTGACTACATATGTGTTGTATATAATCTTTTTAAAAATGGTTCTATATTGCACCAAAGACAGTTCTACTATTGATGATGTCAAGCTTGTAAGAATAGCAGAACCTTCTTTAGTGCTATATAAAAGCATATACAACACATTCTCCATCAGTCTCAAGAACTATTTCACCATGCAAAGAACCATTTAGGCAAGAAATGGTTCTATATAGCAATCATGGCTCTATACAGAACCACTCCTTTCACTAAAGAGTGTAGGTAATTTTTTTTGTATCCTGATTACATACCTTTATCTATAAACTCTGGTAATGCCCCTCATAAATAAGTAACAGCATGAATAATGCACATCAGATATGCAGAATATTATTATTATTGATTTAATACTGTTATCTACTGTTGTTTTAACTTGAAATAAAAGTTAAAACAAATAAATAAATCAAAGATACAAGAAAAAATCTGGGTTGGTCTTTGCTGTATCCTCAGAGACACAACTGAAGTGTTTAATCATATTTTATCGCTTCTGATGTCATCGCAGTATTTACCAACTTTATCGCACATCAAATTTTTGTATTCATATCGCTAATAATAGAGCTGGACAGTGTAACGTTTTGATTCTTACCAGTGTTCAACCAGCACGTACACAGGCATGCTGGAGTCTCTGATGATGATGATGATGATGATGATGATGATGATGACCTCCTCACACTCGAGATGTTGGTGTGTAGCAGCAATGTTGAGTTATCTTCTGTGCTTTAAAATGCTCTGACCACACCCTTACCGCTGACCATTAACGTCTCTCGTCTCTTTACATCATTCCAGGAAACCGCTCCATAATGTTCTCATTTTAAAACATCTTATCTAAACAAATAGGCCTCTCCTGTGGTTGTGTGGGTGAAGAATGATGCTCCTGTCTGCTGTCAGTGATGATCTTCCTCAAAACCGCAGAGCAGGAAGAAGCAGTTGTAAACAAGAACATCAGGAAGACTCGCAGAGCTGAGCACGTGAAAATGAGTATGTCCCTCTCCTGACCACTCACCTAGTCCAGGTGAATAGAATCCAGGAGAAGTCAAACAACCTAACCAGAGAATTTTATTTGAGTCTGAGTGAAGACTCAGGTGAACCGTTTTCAGGTGAAGTAACTACCAGTGCTTTAAGTCTAAAAATATATGTGAGGTTATTCTAGCTGTGCTGTGTCCAGGTGAACCATTGGGGTGGCCCAAGCTCTGGGTCCTCTCTCAAGAAACAAGATTTCTTGCTTATCCAGCTGATTTTAAGCTTATTTCAGTGTAGTCCTGAATTTTCTGTCTCATGATGATGGGTCATTTTTTTTAACCAGGCTACATCTCCATTGCAACTTATGCTCCACAGCTAACCTGCTCCATGCCTAGCCTTCTGACCAATCAGGGACAGCCTTCTGATAAATCAGGGACAGCCTTCTGACAAATCAGGGACAGCCTTCTGACCAATCAGGAACAGCCTTCTCATCAATCAGGGACAGGCTTCTGACAAATAAGGGACAGCCTTCTGACCAATCAGGAACAGCCTTCTGACCAGTCAGGGACAGCCTTCTGACCAATCAGGGACAGCCTTCTGACCAATGAGAGACAGCCTTCTGACCAATCAGGGACATTCTTCTGACCAGTCAGGGACAGCCTTCTGACCAATCAGGGACAGCCTTCTGACCAATGAGAGACAGCCTTCTGACCAATCAGGAACATTCTTCTGACCAATCAGGGCTAAGCTTCCAACCAATCAGTGACAGCCGTCCAATCAATCAGGAACAGCCTTTAGACCTATTAGGGACAGCCTTCTGACCAACCAGAGAAATTTGACCCATCAAATACAACCTTCTGACCAATCAGAGACATCCTTTAGATCAGAGATAGCCTTTAGACCAATCAGGGACTGCCTTCTGACCAATCAGGGACCGCCTTCTGACCAATCAGAGACATGCTGCTGACAAATCAGGGACCGCCTTCTGACCAATCAGGGACAGCCATCTGATCAATCGGAGACAGCCTTCGGACTAATCAGACACAGCCTTCCAACCAGTCTCAGACATCCTTCTGACCAATCAGCGAGACTTTCTGATCACATTGATTTATTGATTTATCAGTCTACTCAGGATTTATCAGAGCTCAGTAACACTGAGATTACTAACTGATCATCACATTGATTTATCAGTCTACTCAGGCTTTAGCAGAGCTCAGTAACACTGGGATTAATAACTGATCACATTGATTTATCAGTCTACTCAGGCTTTAGCAGAGCTCAGTAACAGTGAGATTAATAACTGATCACATTGATTTATCAGTCTACTCAGGCTTTAGCAGAGCTCAGTAACACTGAGATTAATAACTGATCACATTGATTTATCAGTCTACTCAGGCTTTAGCAGAGCTCAGTAACACTGAGATTAATATCTGATCACATTATCAGTCCACTCAGGCTTTAGCAGAAACTTCAGTATTAGTAAAGAAGCCATCTTTAGAGCACAGCTTTATGTGCTGTGCATTTATTTTAAAGTAGTTAATAATCAAGCATTATTACAGGTTTTGTTTAAAGATGGTATCACTTCTGTCGGAATGCTTGAATTAATGCTTTTGTATCTCTATTTTTTTTTTTTAGTTTTTGACTAGAGATGCACGGATGCCACTTTTTTCCTTCATCCTCATCCGTTAATATTGGCCAAAACAGAGTACAGATACCGAAACCTACTCTATCTAACCTAACTCACCTGATATTTATAGTCACATTTAGAAAATATTTTATTTTAGTAAATTTTGTGTTCTGCATCACAAATAAAAACTCAGCTTGGCTAGATGGCACTTACTTGTTAGATTATATATATTAGATGCTTAAAAAAACTTATTTTTGTTTATTTACTGTATACATTTAGTATTTACTATTATATAACCAGTAACAAGAATCAAGTTTAACAACTTAAGTACATGTAATACATATTTATTTTGTAAAACAGTTAAAACAGAGCTGAATGTTGTTTCACATTCAAATTTCTTGAGTCGTTTGTCTCATAAGTGAGTCTTGTTCACTCGCGCTGCATCTCTGAGTATCAGTTCAGTAAATATCACCGTCATTCACGCTGTCAGTATCAGGACTTTCAGTGTTTTTCTAGATTGTTTGAACCGATGGGCCGTGAGACGCCTCCGCTGAGTGATACAACTGTCCGACAGAGGATGCACAGGCCCGGCTAGCGGGCTGCTATGCTAAAGGATAAATTGAGGCTAAAGGCGGCGGTTCCTTCTGCTCTCTCAGTAACCTTAACTCAGACTGTAAGTAACCACATAGCAGCGGACAAGTGATTACTGCATTTTTACTGCTGCTGCTTGTCACCCCACACCGTCAACGTGGTGTTAAGTTCTGTCTACTGGCGCATATGTACGCATCAGAAATTGCTTTGTGATGTCAGTCATAGGCATCGATATCTCCATCAGAGATACTGATACTGAGTCGATACAAAGTGCCAGTGTCGCTGATACTGATACAGTATCGGTAACAGTGCAACACTATTTTTGACATCATTTGAAAATGCCTGTTGCCTTTTAAATTGTGTTAATTTAATGATGAATGGACCAAAAGAAATGACCCAAAATTACCTAGAAATAAGTCTGGTTCCATTGACGTACATTAAAAAGTAAAGTATGTTTTTTACCTTGTTCTGTAAAGTTCTCATTGTGAAGATGTGAGGTTTAGTTCTGACAGCAGCGATATACACATTTTTGTTCATTTATCCTAAAAATATTCTCCCAAAAATGTATTAAGTAACTGTATTCTGAATAAAGATACTTAATTTCTGTATTGGGAATTAATATTCACAATAGTAAACCCTAGTGATCTGTGTCTAAACTCCACATTCTCAAAGGAACAACAGCTTTGCTTTGAGTAAACAAACAAAAAAAACTACAACAAACGACACATAAGAGACATTAAACATTGAAGTGTACAGATCAGAGTGGGTCACAAACACAGCACAGCCGTCTTGGTTTTGTGTTTTTTTATTAGTTTAAATGATATGCAGTACAAAATGAATAGAATAATATAACCTTATATTCCCCTGGATAAAATACTCTCACTTTCATCCATTTTATTCGTGCCAGATATTTGCATCTATAGAATACAGCTAGATTAAAATTTTTCATACATTATTTAAATGACAAAAAAAAGAACAATAGTACCTCTGTAACATTAAAAATTCATGTTTGTCTGTGTGGACAGGGTTTCAGCATTTTGACACATTAAAATCACACATGGTGTAAAAATTGCATTGCAATCTGCCCATTTTACAAGATTTCAGACTCTGCTTTGTATAGATGCCATAAAGTGGATGACGACATGGATTTGTACACATATAAAAAGATTGTGTTGACATTCTGCACTGTGTAAAGTCTCATAGTGTTGATGTGGACAGGCCTGCAGGGGAAAGCCTGTGCACACTTTAGCGTACAATGCACTTAAAATTGCTTTTATTTATACAAGGCAACTTCTCAGTTGATAAATGTGAATCTCAATACGATGAGACTGTACCAGTCAGCTTAAATATCCACATATAAACGTAAAAAAAATCTCTTTAAAAACATATTTAGCTTTTGTACATAGTGAAATGCATCTTTACACGGCGTCTGTCCGTTTAGTCCAAACAGGCACCGCATCGTCAGTGTAACGTCATCAAAATTACCCACAATCCCCCACGCACATCTGCTCTCGAACCAAACACACTCAAACAAACACAAACAAATGCATACTTTCTCTCGCTCTCTCGCTCGCTCGCTCTCTCTCTATGGAGGGTTGTTTCCAGTATCCGCCATGGGTTTCCAGATGCTGTGTGTGTGTGTGTGTGTGTGTGTGTCTCTCACAGCATTAAGCGCATGGAGTGGCACTGTTCCTTAGTGCTGCCCCCTGCTGGGGGGGAAGGGGAGGAGCCCTCAGTTTGGTCATCTTGCTGCAGTGTCACTTTCTCCGGTGTGTAGTCGTTCCTCTTCAGATCTAAACACAAACACGTTACACTCATTACAGTGAACAAACACACACTAACCCACTAAACCCTTTATTATTCAATTATTAATGTTAATGCTTATTATTCAGGATCTACTGTGAATTATTCAGTGTCTATTAAGAATTATTCAGTGTGTACTATGAATTATGAAGTATCTACTAATGTGTAAATTCTGTGGTAATTACTACAGAGTTAATTAGGCTGATAAAAACAAAACGTTTTTGAATAATGAACCTTGAAATGTATTTAAGGTGTTAACGAATACACACACACACACACACACACACACAACCCCATTTCCAAAAAAGTTGGAATGCTGTGAAAAATGTAAATAAAAAACAAAATGCAACGATGTGCAAATGCTTCAAACACAACAAATCAACTGTTGAAACTGAGAAATTTTATTGTTTTTGAAAAATATTTTGAATTTGATGCCAACAACAAGTTCCAAAAAAGCTGTGATGGGGGCAATAAAAGGCTGGAAAAGTTGTTATGCTAAAAAAAAAACACCTGGTGGTTAACTGGCAACAGGTCATTAACATGACTGGGTATAAAAATGCATCTCAGAGAGGCGGAGTCTTTCAGATGTAAAGATGAGGAGGGGTTCACCACTCTGTGAAAGACTGCACGATCAAATAGTGCAACAATTCAAGAATAACATTTCTCAATGTAAAATAGCAAAGAACTTATACTTTTCATCATCTATGGTACATATCATTAAAAGATAAGGCAAAAAAAAACAGTATTTGCTGGCCGT